CATGCTCAAAGCGGCCTGTTCCCAACCCCCCCCCCCCTCCCAAACAAGCAAAACGGAATCAAAACTAGCAACACGCAACAAGACCAAAGCAAGGTAAACAGAACAAACATACAAATCTGGGTCCCTGGGTGCGGCTAAAAAGTAGGGGTCCAAAATGGACCCCTGGTAAAGGGAACCTAGCTGGGGGACCTAGATACAAAGACCAAAGCAACGCAGCATAAACCCGCAGCCGGTTCCGTTCCGTCCATCTGCCGCGCCTTTGCCTGCTCCTCGACCAGCTGCTTCTCGAAGCTGGGCGCGGAGGGTCGCATTTTTTGGTTTGGGGTTCCCTTGGGACCAAAGCGGCGGAGGGTCAAGTGGGCATAGTTGTTGTTTTCTTTTTTTCCAGGGGACCCTCTGGTAGACACAATTTAGATGGGGATTTGTGTCCACCAACCACATTCAGGTGGCTTCCTAGTTGAAAATCATGGCCAAGTCATTGATACCCCCTCAAAGACAAACATGAGCTTCTTAGAAAGAAGCAGATTCGAAAGCCGCAAAAAGGCATCATGTGGGGCAGCAGGCAGAGAAGTTGGGATGACAGAAAACCAAAATGGGCACAATTTCCGATTCACCCATGGAGCCAGAAAGAGGGCGAACTTTTGAGGAGATGGCTCCCTTTCCTGTTCCACGTTTGTGCCATTTGACCCAGCCCGCAAGACCGCCGCAAGGGCGGTCCATGCTTGCGCTTCCATGCGCAGTACGCCAGGGCGAAAGCCGATGGCATAATGTCCACTACGCCGGCAACAAAAAAGGGGGCGAAACCAAAATGGAGTTGCGTCTGTGAAATCTCTACTTTCGCTCAACTGCAAGTGGCTCCACTCTAAGGACATGAAATTCTAGGAGGGCTTCTGAGTGGGATCCTGAGCATGCATCCCAAGAGATGAAGCTGATGGTTGAGGCTGTTTTTTGGGGGAATCTCTCTTTGCGGCTTTACTTCGGATAAAAATGAGGAGGACCATATGAGTCAAAGGGGAGAGCATCATTTTCAAGACCCCTCCCAAATCCTGGCGGCTTTTCTCTCAGGCAAGGGGCTGGCCCTTTCGGAACTCCTTGATGTTCATCTTGCTCAGGTTCACCTTCTCCTCTACTCTGCTCAACGCCTTCTGCTGCAGCTCCCCCATCTTGCTGGTCTTCTCCTTCTGCAGCCTCATAACCGGCCGCGCCCATTTGGAACACTGGCATGCGAGGAAGCTTAAGGGCGTGCTTCCATCAATGACAGGGATCCTTACATTATACACCTGATCATTGCCTTGTAAATGGTGGTTTCCCTTTATTTTGGTGTAAAAAGCCATGTTTCAAATGGTTGCAAAAGGAGGTCCTTTAAAAGGCAAGTTTGGCGACGCGGGCCACCTGAACATGCATCACACAGCATCTCATAGCTGAGACTTGTCAAAGCCAAGTGAAACATGCGGCGCGACACCTGCCACCCTCATTGGCTCTCAGGCAACCATATTGTGTATGGACGAAAATATTGCAACAACGAAAAACTGGAATGCAAATTGTGGATGGACGAAATCTTGCACCACCCGAGAAACCCTGGTTTCTGACGACTCCCCCCGAAGCAACCGAATGGAAAACGGCATCCATCCTCCCCATGTTCGACACCCCAAACCCGCAGCCCATCTATCCATCCATCCATCCATCCATCCATCCACCCCATGTTCGACCCCAAACCCGCAGCCCCCCTCACCCCCCCGCCCCCGCCTGTCTTTGGCAGAATGGAGGTGCCCCAACAGCTTCCCGAAGAGGTTTCTGCTCCTGGGGTCTGACTTGGTGGGCTTCCCCTCCTTCTTTCGCTTCTCCTTAGCAAGGAAAAGACCCGGACACCGCTTCGGAAAGCTTGCAGAACAGGGGTGGGCTTCCCCCTTCAAATGTGCAAATGGCTTGTGGTGTCCAAGAAAAAGTGCTGCTTCTTTGAAGGTCCAAAAAAAAAGAAGGAAATGGAGGTACAGTTATTTTCTGGAAAGCGACCCGACAGGGAAAAGGGCCGGTGCACCGGTCTGAGCGAGGCTAGTGTTTGACACCCTTCTCAACTGTAGGCATGCGACAATCCAACCCCCCAGTGGAACCAATCCCGACGGAGGCCAAACACACATGCAAACACATGCAGAAAGGGCTCCACTTTTAGATTATCTCAAGGTAGACTTAAACCAAGAGGTGGTTCATTTCCCTCAAATATAGGACCCTGGGTTTAAGTTAACTTTGGGGCAAACAAAAAGTGGAGCCCTGCATACAGACATATCGAAACATAGAGACACGCAGACAGGCAGACGCAGCGACACGGAGACACAAAGACTCAACATGCCACAAGAAAATGCCAAGAAACAAACAAGCTACTCTCGCAGCCCTATATCCAATGCCTTTGCATGGTAGGGCGGCTGCCAAGGGATGTCGGCTCATCTTCTTCCTCTGCACTCCCTCGGCGATATGCCCCGAACAACAAAAACTGTTTTAACGGAGGAGCCTTCTTTGTTGAACCTCCCCAAAGGCTTTCTTTCGCAGCTCGGTATGATCCAGCCAAGCTTCAAACTCCTCGTCTCTTTTTCGTTTTCTGCTCTCCTCGTTCTCGCCCTCTTCCTTCTTCTCTTCCTCCTTGTCGCCGTTCTCCTTGTCGCCGTTCTCCTCACCCTGCCATTGCATCACGGTATCAACATGCAAAAAATGGAGTGCAAACTTATCGTCATCTGTGGCTCTGGAGCTTGTCCACAGCGATGTTTTGAAGCTTTGCACTAAGATGATCCCCTTTTGCCCACAGGTATGGGGGGCAGGGTAAACAATGGTCTTTTTGTCTGGGCATCCAGCGTCTCTGTCTCGCACGTGTCAGAAAAGCCTAACTTATCCATCGGGCCAAACATCTTTGAGGCTGGGCCATATTTAGTGAACCTCGAACTTGTGAAGCAAATTCAAAAGAGGCTCCGGAAAACGTGACGTTTGTACTGCCCAACCCCCCCCCCCCCCCTCAAAAAAGCAAAAGGGGAACACAAAGACTTCCTGTCACAGAACGCTCTTAATGCTTCCTTCCAAGAAACTGCTCCCCCCCTCCCCTGCCCGCCAGCCCAAACACACCTCCAGGGCTCGTCTGCTACTCTTCCCCAGAAGGATGCCTTTGGGCCCTGCAAAGTTCACCCGAAAAACATGGAAATATGTTTCGCGATGACCTTTCCGGACCTCCCACTACGGACCAACATGGGTGTGCCCTTCTTTGGTGCACCCCACAAAAAATGGACGTCTTCAGCTTGGTTTCCCTTTAAGAAACCCCTACAAAGGGGGTACCGTCAAAGAAAAAGACACACCACGACCCTGGCGCCGTCCTGGCTGTGCAGCGCGGTCAGCTTCCGCTGCTCCTCCTCACCTTGGCGGCAGGCAGGAAAACCACCAGGTCCCGCTTGAGACAAACCCACATACATACATACTCAAAATATAGATATATATATATATATACATGGCCCCCCCCCCATGGATCTACCTTCCTTGTTCTGTGCCTTTGTTGGGGCTTCGGGGAAGGCAGCCAAAAGAAAAACAAAAAAGGAGGCGCAGGTCCAAAGACAACCTGAAAGCTTTAGGCCAAACTTTCCCAGGGAATCGTGAATCCAGTCGGCTTGGAGCTACCTCGGTCCTATTCCTCTGAGGCTTTGTCAGATGCAAAACAACAGCTATGATGGAGCCATTGGCCCAAGAGTGAACTCGTAAAGAAATTAATTGTTAGAGCCTAAGTAAATAAGTAAAAAAGAAGAAGTAAAAAAACAACAAATGTTTATAGAAAAGAAAGGAAAACAGTAAAAATATGGAGCCTATGACTCAGAAGTAAAAAGTAAAAAGTAAAAAGTAAAAGCCAACCGTAAAAAGTAAAGAAATGGTTAAAAAAATAAATAAAAAGTAAAATATCTCAGTCCATGGTCAAAGCACTTTACTTCAGGACCATTGGCTGATGTGTTCCTTGTTTTTTGTTTTCTACTTATTTATTTTTACTTTTGTTACTTCTAAAAAAAACTTGATTACTGGTGTGTTTGTTTTTTTTTGCTTTTATTTTTTACTTGTTTACGATTCTGTTAAATTAAAAAAAACAAAAAAACTTGTTTTCGTTTTTACTTTTTACTTTTTTGATGTTGCTCTTTTACGTGTTTTTTTTTGTGTTTTGGGTCATTGGCTCCAGACATTTACTTTTACTTCTTTATATACGTTTGTACTTTTGAGTCTCTGGCTCCAAAAAATTGCTCTTAGGTCATTGGCTCCACATGTTTTTCACTTGTTTACCTCTGTGTCATTCGCTCCAGAACTTTACGCTTTTACTTTTGGGCTATTGGCTCCATATTTTTACTTATATATTTTTGACCTTTCCAAGCTGCTGGTTTGCATCTTCTGGCCAGACTCAAGTTTATAGGAATTGGACTTGTTTCTCGTACTTGGTTGCTCAATGAATTTCATTGGACACATGCTTGTTTGTTCAAAAAACACATTTTGATTTATCGTTTTAGTGTTTTTCTGCCTGGATTTCAAAGTATTCGAGAAGGATACAACATTAAAAGAAACACAATCAAATACGTGTCTCAAAATACATTTGAAAGATGAGGTTAAAAGGGGTCTGTTTCTATTATTGTGTTTGTTCAATTTTATCATTAGGATTGACATGGAACTTAATAAGGTTCACACCCTAGTAGAGTTTCTAGCTTAAAGAGGATTTAAATAGGATTCCTTGTCGAACTAGATGTGTAGTTAAACTCCCATTTGAACCTAGATGTTCAAACGAGTTGATTTGTTGGCATAGGTTCAATAGAAGTTAATAAGTACATAACTTCATGTAAATGTCTAGCTTGAAAGAGAATTTTTATAGTGTGTGTGTGTGTGTGCGTGTGTTGTTTTGTTAAAGGTGTTGAATGATTGGAACTCTTTAAACACATGTTCAACAGGATGTTTTTCCATGATGACTTTTTCAATTCTCTAATTAGACCTTAAATAGAAATTGAAAGTGAACAACACCTAATTTAATAAACTGTCTGGACTAAAAGATGATTTCAACAAACTTTCCATTTGAAGAACATTGCTTATTTGGATTCTTAATCCAAAACATGTTTTAAAGAGAACGCCCTTTCCCGGATATTGTTTCTCCACTTTATATTTAGAACTTACTGAAAACTAATGTTGGAAATCATTATTTTAGAATTTCCAGTTTTCAAGATAATTTAGATAGGATTTCCTTTTTCAACGAAAACACACAATTGGAGTTGTTATTCCAAATTAGGTTTTGAAGAGGATTTCGTCCTTGCTTAGGGTGAGCTGGAGTAAAACAACTGCATTCCATCTCCAAAATAGCCTTCGAACAGCAAAAAGGTAGATCCATTGGAGGGGTTGCATATGTGTGTGTGTGTGTGTGCAAGCCCAGTGGCCCGCACTCAAGACTATCGGGATGTGCGGGGCGGGGGGGACATGGCATTATACCACTGGCAAAGGAGCAAAAGCTGGTTTGGCACCAAACCTGCAACGCCTTTGCAAACAACCCGCAGGGATGGTTTGGCAACCCACACCGAGAGGATGACAGAACAAAGCGGTCATCTGAGGACCTCAGTAGTTTAGGCCGGAGAAGGCATCTCCGATAGGTCCGAAGCTGACATGGGCCAATGGGAACCAAGAGATCAGCAAATGCCCGGGACCAGCGTTGCATGCGTTTAGGGAACACCTAAGGGGTGGTCCAAGGGTTCCTAAACCTTAAGGAGCCCTCTGAGTTAGTACGTGGTTGTTTTTTGAGGAAACACTATTTTCAGGTTGAAGGGACACCAACTATTCAAAGCACTCTTTTGGCTCTCCTTTGGTTCTCCCCCTTTCCTGGAACATGCCCGAATCAAAGGCGAACCCGAATCCCAACCCGTCCTAAAACCCCGCTTGTGCCCCCGGGCCGAAGATCCGCTTCTGCGCCGCCTCCATCTTCCTGATGCTGGCATCCAGCTGCACCTGGCCAGAGGTTCGGCAAAGCACAAAAACTCGCCGCCGGCACGAACTTCGCATGGTGCGCCACCAGCGCAAAGTCACAAACTCGACTCTCGGCATGGCTTCCTGGAGTGCTCAACCCCAGAGGTTGCATCATTGGCACCTCCGGACACGAAGGTGACCTAGCTGCGAAGCAAGTCGAGCCCCAAGCGAGATACCATGCAAGCAGCATGCAAACCTCCTGTTCATCAGTCAGGCGAACTGCCTGAAACGAATCAAATCGCTAGGCCGGCTGCTTTTTGAGTGCGTTGAAAGACCAGACCAAAGCGCCATGCTCAAGGAAGCTCCGAGCATCTTAGCCGTAAAGCGGGAGGCACGCACCATCCTTCCAGCTGAAATGAGAATGGACTAGGTGACAAAGGCCAGGAATCTTCTTGCACATGTCAGCTTCTATGAATTCAGGAAGCTGCTCCCGATGGCGGAACTGATCGAGCTGGAGCTTTAAGACAGTGTGAAACGCCAGACCGGTCGGCACCCTCCCTCTAACAATCACGACCCCCCCCCCCTCGCCCCCAACGCCCCTCCCCCACCTCCCCCGCAACGCCCCTTCCCCCTCCCCCACCTCCCTTGCCACCTCCCCCCCACAACACCCCTTCCCCAACCCCCCCCTCCCCCTCAAAAAATAAATGCTGGAGGGACGGTGCCAAACACCGCGCCCGGCCGCGCCTTGTCCCTCCGCAGCTCCTGGATTTGCCGCTCGAGCTCCCTGCGCGAGAGCTCATTGCCCTCCGACCTCAGCCGTGCCAGTGTTCGTCGTCGCTGGTGTTTGCTGGTTGCGTGGTTGGTTGTTTGGTTGGTTGGTTGGTTGGGTGGCTGGCTGGCTGGCTGGCTGGCTGGCTGGCTGGCTGGCTGGCTGGCTGGCTGGCTGGCTGGCTGGCTGGCTGGTTGGTGGGTGAGTGGGTGGCTTGGTTTGGTTTGGTTTGGTTTGGTTTGGTTTGGTTTGGTTTGGTTTGGTTTGGTTTGGTTTGGTTTGGTTTGGTTGGTGGGTGGGTGTGGGTGGGTGGTGGGTGCGTGGGTGGGTGGGTGGGTGGGTGGGTGGGTGGGTGGGTGGGTGGGTGGGTGGGTGGGTGGGTGGGTGGGTGGGTGGGTGGGTGGGTGGGTGGGTGGGTGGGTGGGTGGGTGTGGGTGGGTGGGTGGGTGGGTGGGTGGGTGGGTGGGTGGGTGGGTGGGTGGGTGGGTGGGTGGGTGGGTGGGTGGGTGGGGGGGTGGGTGGGTGGGTGGGTGGGTGGGTGGGTGGGTGGGTGGGTGGGTGGGTGGGTGGGTGGGTGGGTGGGTGGGTGGGTGGGTGGGTGGGTGGGTGGGTTGGTTGGTTGGTTGGAGGTCGGCTTTTGGGCCTGGTTTTGAAATAGGAAACCAAGGGACCAGCAAACGCCAAGAGGGCCACATTGCGCAATGCTCGCTAGCGGGCAAGGGGGTCGTGCAGCTAGTTGGTCCTCGTCCATCTGCTTGATTCAGAGCAATCGCGCAGGATTCCAAACCCCTGTTCGCGTTCAGAGGCGTGCCACGCAACTCCTCTCAAGTTAATTGTCGTCAATCATTTTGCACGATGCACGCCCTGCGATGTTTGCTGAGTTCCCCCAACCCGCTCAGATGCAGTCAGCTTGGCTCTCGGGCATGGCGCGGCGAAGGAAATCGCCGCGGCGGGTTTGTGCGGAAGCGCTTCCGCCTTGGTATCGGGAAACCGACAAAGCCTAGCCCCCAGTGCCTTCTCTTCTTGCATAGGTCCGGGTGATGCTTCTTTCACTGAAAGAAAGCCCACGGGTGGGTGAGGTCGCATGTTTTCTTGCCAGGATTTGCCCAATAGGCCGCCTTTAAAATAAGCCCCGGTCTTTGGTCCGAGTCCCAACAGCCACCCACACGACCCACCCTTTCTCCCAGAAAAGTGATGATCCAGAACCACCATGTGCCAGGCAACGGCTTAACTCCTTGCACATGCCATTGTAGAAAAGGGTGCTGCTGTGACCATGACACGAAATGGGAACCCGCAACTTGGGTGCTTGCTCCTGCAAGTTGCCATGTGCGACTCAAAGGTTCTTCTCGAAAAAAAGGAGAAAAAAAGGAGAAGAAAGAGACTCAATGACATCCGCGCCATGACGGACGAAACTAATTTAACCCCTGGTGCTTGTCGCGGGTAAACGGGGGTTTCAACCCCTACACCTCCAAACCGCCAATCCAAAACACAAATTGGAGTTGGAAGCTGAAAATGACTGGTGCAAAAGATCAGCGGGCTGCAAGGTGTTTTTTTAGCTATCAAACCGGGTCTTTCGACCAGAAACGTCACCATCACTTTCGCCAGTTAAATTGGAGGACCTTCTTCCAAAAGTGGGTATCATTTAAAGAACCCTATCAAACAGCTGGCCTTCCCAAATGCAAGCCCATTCCACAAATTCATGTCCGCCCTGGCCTCACCTACCATACTGACCCGCCTATGAGGGCTGGGCTGTTCATCTCACCACGCAAGAAATCGCGCAGCCGGCCGCTTTTCCCCCGCTCCGCGCCGTTCTGGTCTGCGCCGTTCTGCCCCGTCCAAAAGAGCAACCCACCGGAAGGAGACCGAAAAAGAAACCCCGCGGAAGGCTGCGGAGTCTCGAGCTCAGGCGATCTGCAGGCCCAGCTTCTTCGCCTTCTCGGCCTGAATGGCGCGCTCCCGGCGCTGCGTCACATGCTGCGACCTCAGCTGCCGCATGCGCCAGCCCGGGCTTCAGGGAAGCATGCAAGGTCAACCAAAGCAACTCGACTTGAAAGCAAAAGGCTTCAAAAGTTGAGATGCTGGAGTTGTTCGCAACTCGTGTCACATCACACCAAATCACTTACAGCTGCAGCTGCCTCCCAACACAACCGTCTTTTCTTTCCCAGCCCCCCCACCCCTCTCCATCTTTTCTTTGCCAGCTGCTTGATGCCCATGATGCCGCCGCCCCATCGCCTCTTCACCTCCACATTGTCGTTGAACTGCGCCTTGAAGTTGCCTGGCTACGGAACCACGGAAGTCATGCAAAACTATTCGAGTCGGAGTTCCGGCCGGACTCGTGTGCCTCATGTGCTGTGCCATGCTGTGCCATGCCTGCTCTGTGCTATTCCGGCTCTGTGCTGCAGAGTTGTCCCTAGCATCAGTGCGCCCAATGAAAATGCATCAAGGGTGCCCACGAGATTGTTCAACTCCTTCTCGTCCTCGGGCTTGACCGAGGTGATCGCCACGCATGCGCAGGTCTTCTGGTGAATCAACTGACCCAAGCGAGACTTGCCCTTGATGATGCAGTAGGGCACATCCTTCTTTCGGCACAAAGCCGGGAGCCAGCACACCAGCTCGATGGGCTCCACATCATGGGCAATAATCACAAGCTTTGCCATCTTGTTCTCCACGAGGGTGGTCACGTGGTTCAGGCCATACTTCAGGACCTGCGGTTTCTTGGTCTTCACCTCTTGCCCATCCTTCTTCTGCTGTGCCATCTCCATCAACCTAGCCTTCTTTGCAACTTTCGTCTCTGGCATGTACTTCTTGCAAAGCTTCAGCACGTTGGCAGCCTTACCAGTTTCAACAAGGAGGGCCTCCCACGTGCCATGAACATCCAATGCACTGGGGGATACAACTTGGAACTGTCGAAATAAGTAACAGTTGATTTGAAACGGATCTTGTTCCGGCCCTGTCGCAAAGCAGGAGAACAATCACCCACTCCGCGCTTGCCCGCCTGGTTCTTGTCGATGGTCATGCTGAACTGATTGATGGCAGGCGGCACCTTCAGCCGCATCAGCATGATGCGCTTCTGCCGCTGCAAGTTGATGTACTTGGGCCACTTCACAAAGCGTGTCAGGTCGCGCTTGGGCTGGATATCACCACCCAGCCGGTAGCTTCGAGGAGCCTGCAGCCCGCCCGGAATGCAAGGCCGCCCCAGGCCCTTCTGAAGAACCCCCGACTTATCCAACGTCTCTATGAATTCCAACCTGCCGCCCCATTCCAACCCCGAACAAAAGAACTTGGACCAAAATCTGCTTCAAGTGTTTGTCCCATCGATGCAAACAGATTCTCTTCCCCACTCCCCGCCACAATCTCGCAAAGAAATGGGCGTGGATATGGACAAAAGTGCAAGTGAACGCCATTCCCCCCTCCCACGCCTTCTCGAAAAGAGGGTTCTTCTTCGCCTTCTTCTTCTTGTCGGCAAGGGGCGCGCTGGGCAGTTTCTTGCCTCCCTTCGCCGCCTTTCCCATGGCGACCGCCGGCCTTTTTCGAGGATGACGCTGAAACGGCGCTGTGTCAAGCCGGTGATTGGCCCTAACGCCTCTGCCCCGGGTTTCTTCCTCAAACGAGTTGCCCTCCTCCACATTCTCCGGATGGCCCAGGGCTGAACTCTTGCCAGCCTTCCTTCGCCCCCAACGTCTCTTGACACACCTCTGTCCTGCCTTCTTTGGAAACCTTCTGCGCGCTCCCTTTCGTGAACACTCCCACTGATACGGAGAAACAACAACGACGCCCGCTCAGCCGCCCACCTACCCACGTTCCCAGCTACGCTACCAACCGACCAACCTACCAACCTACAAACCAACCTGACCGACCTACCTGCCTAACAACCTGCCACTCAACCACCTGCCCCCATGCCACACAAACCTGCAGGGGAAAACAATTCTCTTCCCTGACCGCGCTTTCCGCTCGGCTCTGACCCCGCTCGCTCTTTCCGCCCGCTCGCCATCTGGCCCACTGTCCCTCGCCCCAAAAACACCGCTCCCGCCGAATGGCTCAGGCGATCTGCAGGCCCAGCTTCTTCGCCTTCTCGGCCTGAATCGCGCGCTCCCGGCGCTGGGTCACGTGCTGCGACCTCGGTTCATTGCTTGAATTGCTGGTGCGATAGGCAGGGAATGAGAAATGTCATGACCCCGAGAAAAACCATTCTTTATGGTTTCCTTTGAGGGAATCCCCTTCTGGTTCATTCCCAAAACCCTGGCTATTCCCTTCTGAGCACAAGCAAGTTGCTTGCTTCTTTATCCCTCCCAGCGTAAACCTGTGCCTCCCAACATCTCGTGGAAGTCCTGACCCGCCATGCCACCACCGTCTTGTCTTTCCCACCCCGCCGTCCCCACCCCCTCCGTCTTTTCTTTCCCAGCTGCTTGATGCCCATGATGCCTCCGCCCCATCGCCTCTTCACCTCCACATTGTCGTTGAACTGCGCCTTGAAGTTGCCTGGCTACAGGGGGAACCACGGAAGTCATGCAAAACTATTCGAGTCGGAGGTCCGGCCGGACTCGTGTGCCTCATGTGCTGTGCCATGCTGTGCCATGCCTGCCCTGTGCTATGCCGGCTCTGTGCTGCAGGGTTGTCCCTAGCATCAGTGCTCCTAATGAAAATGCATCAAGGGTGCCCACGAGATTATTCAACTCCTTCTCGTCCTCGGGCTTGACCGAGGTGATCGCCACGCATGCGCAGGTCTTCTGGTGAATCAACTGACCCAAGCGAGACTTGCCCTTGATGATGCAGTAGGGCACATCCTTCTTTCGGCACAAAGCCGGGAGCCAGCACACCAGCTCGATGGGCTCCACATCATGGGCAATAATCACAAGCTTTGCCATCTTGTTCTCCACGAGGGTGGTCACGTGGTTCAGGCCATACTTCAGGACCTGCGGTTTCTTGGTCTTCACCTCTTGCCCATCCTTCTTCTGCTGTGCCATCTCCATCAACCTAGCCTTCTTTGCAACTTTCGTCTCTGGCATGTACTTCTTGCAAAGCTTCAGCACGTTGGCAGCCTTACCAGTTTCAACAAGGAGGGCCTCCCACGTGCCATGAACATCCAACAATCCACAACTTACAGATACCAGTGCCTCCTCACTCGTGCAATTGGGCTTGACCGAGTGGGGGCATACAACTTGGAAAACAAGAGACGGTTGATTTGAAAAGGATCGTGTTCCGGCCCTGTCGCAAAACAGACGAACAATCACCCACTCTGCGCTTGCCCGCCTGGTTCTTGTCGATGGTCATGCTGAACTGATTGATGGCAGGCGGCACCTTCAGCCGCATCAGCATGATGCGCTTCTGCCGCTGCAAGTTGATGTACTTGGGCCACTTCACAAAGCGTGTCAGGTCGCGCTTGGGCTGGATATCACCACCCAGCCGGTAGCTTCGAGGAGCCTGCAGCCCGCCCGGAATGCAAGGCCGCCCCAGGCCCTTCTGAAGAACCCCCGACTTATCCAACGTCTCTATGAATTCCAACCTGCCGCCCCATTCCAACCCCGAACAAAAGAACTTGGACCAAAATCTGCTTCAAGTGTTTGTCCCATCGATGCAAACAGATTCTCTTCCCCACTCCCCGCCACAATCTCGCAAAGAAATGGGCGTGGATATGGACAAAAGTGCAAGTGAACGCCATTCCCCCCTCCCACGCCTTCTCGAAGAGAGGGTTCTTCTTCGCCTTCTTCTTCTTGTCGGCAAGGGGCGCGCTGGGCAGTTTCTTGCCTCCCTTCGCTGCCTTTCCCATGGCGACGCCTGAACCGCCAGCCTTTTTCGAGGACAGTGACTCGCTGAAACGGCACGGTTGAAGCGGCGGCGCTTTTGCAAGTGACTGTCGCTGCCGCCTGGTTTGCGACACGAACGGAGCACTCTCAGGTTTGGCGCACAGCGTGCCGGTTAACACTCAAAAGGCGCAACGTGCCCTCTCCCCTGTCCCAGACCTTTCCCTTAGCCCAAGCTTCCCTCTCCAAATTCCCCTCTGGAGCTTTGGACAGCTGACCCCAACTCAACCTTCAGAAGATGGACCGCGCACCGCGCAACTTCCAGCCCCAACCCAGCGAGTCCAACAGGTCCCGAGTCCCGAGCCGCCGGAGCTCGAGGCAAAGCGACCGGGCCACTCGGCTGCGAGCCAAAAAACCAAGCGAGCGTTGGCTTCGGGCGTGAACCTACAAATGGAAATCTTGGCCCTTGCAGGAAAAACATCTCCCTTTGGCAGATTTTTGCTTGCGGCCCCAGGCTGACTCCTGAAGAGGCCCACATTGCAGCATTTCGGACAGTTGTAAAGGGCAGTCACTGATGAAATTGGCGTTCCGCTCGGGGAGTCAGCATGCAGCACTGTGATGCTTCAATCGTACTTGTCCGCGTTGAGTAGGCAGGCCGCACAAACCCTCCGCCCACGTCCCCTGAGTGTCCAAGCCCTCAACTCAACTGGAACAACTCCCCACCCCGCTTTTGGGGAGAAGAAAGAGCCAGAGCTGCGGCGCAAACACTCAGAATCAAAACCTGGCTCTGTGGATGGACAAAGTCCTGCACGAGTTGGTACATGGTTCATCCAAGAGTTTATAGGGATTCATGCCCATCCACTGCATTGAGCATTGAGTGGCCGATCAATCCAAAGCCATGGTACAGAATCCAAACGGGCCGCGACTCTCTGGTTGGTCCTTAGCCTTCACTTGCCCCCGGATCGGGGTGAGGGAAGCCCGAAGCCCGGGGCGCGCGCCATTTCTGCCTTGGGGCACTTTTGATACCGGTCCGTCAGGAGCTGTCGCTGGCAGCTCCCTCCTCTTCACCTTGGCTCGATCGGGGGCCCGAGGCCCTGAAGAAGAGAGAGGGGAGCTCAGGGTGCTAGATGATTCGCCTGAACATTCCCCCCCCCAAAAAAAAGAAAGAAAAGAAAAGAAAGCAACAGAAAAATAAGTTGTTTAAGTCTATGGCTTTCTTTTCTGGTGTGGGGGAAAGGCCATCTTGCAAGGGTCGCAGGTTCTCCGAGGGGGGTGCCCTAAAAATCATGGAAGATCAAAGGAGGGCTCCAAAAGATACACACACACACACAAAAAAATAAAACTCTCTCCCTCTCTCCGTCTCTCTCTCTCTCTCTCTCGCTCTCTCTCTCTCTCTCTGTCTGGAAGTGACCTCGCGCTAAGCCCCACACGTGGGGCCTCCGGCGCCTGCCGAGTCGAAAGCGGTGAGCGGGGGGTGTTTCCGCCTACTTGGACAACACCCTTGGCGTAGGATACAGCCCAGAAGAGCCCGAGCTCATTCAACCCGGTCAGCTCGCTATCATTTGTGCACATGCGTGTGACTGTAATGTGTTTGGGCATTTCTCATTTTGGGGGACACCTTTTTGGGGTTCCATGCCAACCTGCTGAGGAGCATCAGACAACCCTTCTGCAACTTGACAAGTAGCTCATGTGCCCAAAAACGCAAGTCACTCTGTTGTGTCGGATCGCGATTGAGGCAGCCGACCCCCCAAAGTCAACTCGTGTCAACCCCAGTGAAGCTTCGCACTCAGGCACAAGGCCCCAGATTCAGGGGTCTTGTCGCACTTATGCGCACTTTATGGGGCGAGCCATCGACCAAACTTATCAGGTTTGCAGCCAGGACCTAAGCGGCTGACAAACTCAGAATGGACAGGTGGTACAGTTTTGCATGCTCCCACTTGTGCAGGAACTTCTCCTTAAAACTCAAAAAATATAGTCCCCCCCCCCAAAACAAATGAAAAAACATATGGCTCCCCCCCCCCCAACAAAAAAAAAGAACGAACCACCCAAAAGGGGGGCCCATCAACTTGTTTGAGACCAACGCAAGCGACTCCTCCGCCGCCCGCGCCTCCGCCTCCGCCGCCGCCTCCGGCTCCGCAGCCGCCGGGGCCACGGCACCGCCTGAGCCACGGTAGCTGGGCAGACGCCCCCCAGCGCCGTGTGAAATCCAGGAGACCCGTAACCTCACGATGCACGGCCAATCAGTTTTGAGGTGTTTTTAAGGTGGGTTTTTGAGGTGGGCTTTTTGGTGGGATTTTGCGGTGGTTGTTTTGTGTTTTTTGCTGTTGAAAGTCATGGACGTTTCAGGGCCCATGAAAACCAAAAAAGTCCCACCTGATTCTTGGAGTGATGACCCCTCAATGTGATTTCGGTGCCAGTGACAAAGCCCGGCCTGGCGCCTCTTTCTCCTTCTCCTTCTCCTTTCTCGCAGCTGCAGCCTCCTAAGGGCGCACTCCAAGCGCTGCAGCGTTTCAAGCAACCGACCGACCGACCGACCGACCAATCAACCACTCCTAGAAACCCCTCGGTGACGGAACTTGTGGCGCCCAAAGTTCCCCATACGAGGCCCGGGGCCCCGGATCTAAACCGTCAGCTGCCGTCGGCTTCCCCTTCAATCCCAACATGCAAAAATCAAAGTACGCCACGGCCTCGTCCAAGGTCCCATCCACCCCACCACGGGACTCCTGTTGGCTACCATTCTTTTCAACCATCGCTCTTTTCAAAAAAAACAGCTGTTTCCCCTGGGTTTTTGGATGGTTTCCTGAAAAGAAGGATCCCTGGAAGAACGGGGAAGGTACCCCTAGAACCACAGCCCACTTCTTCCCCCTGGTGGTTTTCTTCTCGGCGCTCGGCCTCCTGCTGCGCCTTAAACTGGGCCTTGAGCCCTGCGATCTTGCCCTTGACGTCCGCGCGGGTCGCGTCGAGCCTCCCCAAGGCTCAGGGTTCAAGGCGGCAACAAGGCTCAGGGTCACCGGAGGTAGTCCCTTCAACAGTTGCCCTGGTCTGGTGGTAGCCCTAACTGCCACGGAAATGGAGGTTCCAAAATGGGAAATGGCACGGAAACCCTGTCATTTCGATCATTTTGGAGATGCCCTTTCGGGTGCTTGGTCATTCGCACCTGGCTGACCATCCCAGATCCCAAGCCCCGCTTTGGCGGCGCCGAGGCCCGCGCTGCTTCTCGGTGTCCCTCGTATGCTTTGCCGGGAGGAAGAAGATGGGAGGCTGCACCTCATGCCAAGGGGAACGGGCAGCAAAGCAAAAAAAACACTGAGCGGATTCGCCCATAAAAAACAGCATGGATTCGCCCTTGTGAGCAAGAAAGACCAAAATCACTGTTCGCAAGGAAGCCCAAGTGAGATAAAATTGTGGTGAATGCAAGTTGGAGCCGTCGGGTGCTGGAGGTTTTTCGCATAAGGAAATCCGAACCAAATGCATATTCCAACACAAATGGGGGGGGTGTTCCACGAATAATGCGGTGCAGGTGGCATGTCATTTAGGCATGTCGACCTCCCAGTGATGCACAAAGCGGCAGCGATAGATATTGCTGGGTTGTGAATGGCTTGATCAGGGGGGCTCAAAACGCGCATCTTGAGGTTTCAGCTGACCTTCCTGGAAGCCTCCAGGAGCTGGACCTAAAAGCAGAACCCGAAATGGGGACACCGAAAGGTGAAAAGGTGGGAGGCACAGGCAAGCAAGGAGAACTGGCAAGGTCGCCCAGCCAGCCACTCGAACGGGACTCATTAGTGGACAGCATTTAGGTTGGCACTCCTGTCCACGAAGCACTTTTGAGGCAGCTCCCTAGTAACATTCCACAACCATACGCACCAGGTTCTGTACATCCCCCAACTTGAATGTGGACTGCCCAAGGAAGGAACCTTCATCGCAAGCTTTCTCACAGCCACGCAGATCCGGTGCCACAAAAATGGGTGGTGCACCCACACCCAAATGGGATCCCAATGGTTTTGACCCACAGACACATGCCTCGGTGCGGATGAAGTTCATCATCAAGGAGTAGTGATTCCTCCGAGCCGGGACGACCGGTGCAAGGAACCAACCGTCACCCCGACGAGTGCGTCTTTGGTGGGAGCAAGCCGGCCAAAAGCAAAGAACAACGCGCCATGCCACCCCTCGAAACTCGAAACGTACCTGGGAAAAAATTATGGGGTCCCAAGACAAATCGCCGTGGATCCGGTTCCATCTACCTCTCGAGTTGGAGGCCCTCCGAAAAGACCGAGTCGCGTCTTTTTGGGGGGGAGAGGCCGGGGGGGGGGCGGAAAGAAGAGCGGGCGCATGGGTTCAAATGGCCACCAAAGTGATCCCAGCAGCGTCAAGTCTAAACGGGCAATCGATTCTGACGTTGGGCACAGTTTCTCGTACGCCGGCAAATGTCAACTTCAAGAGTGGGACATTCTGGCGGCCCTTCTGGTTGGCACAAGGGAAACAAACAGGAAGCCGTTGCCATTGAAAGCCCTTTAGACGTGCCCCAAGAATCAAAGGGGAGCATAGGGTTGGCTTCCTGGCCATTTTTTCGCCCAAGAACTGCCCAAACCAGGGGCTTGCTCCCATCGGCCAGAGGTGCTCTAACCGCCGCTGCAGCAGAAGGACCTCCTTCTCCTCGATCTGTTTCTCGATCTCTGTCACCTGAGTTGCTGAGTAGCCCTCAGTGGGGAAGGGGATTTTTTGGGGGCCCACAAAATGGAGTTGGCTTCTCCTAGTGTGGAGGGGGCTTGTGTTGTCACAAAATGGAGTTGGTGTCTTCTTTGACCAACCCCCAAGCGGTACCCTGGGAAAAAAAAGCACACACGGCCAAGTTACCCTGCCCCATACGCAACAAAACCACCACACGGCGGACAGCAAGGAGGGGAGAAGACCTGCCCAGAATCTGACCCCACCTATTCCCGCTCCAATTCAGAGTGTCCAAATCTTTGAGGAGAACCACCCTTTTCTTTGCTCGAAGGGGCATGGCTTGCTTGCTTTCATCTCAGAACCTTCTCACCTGACCGCAGCTCCGAAGAACCAGTGCCCGATGCGAAGACATAGTCCCACCCCAGTGGCCCTTGCGGCTTCATTGAATCCTCTCCCAGCCCAGAGGGGCTACCTCCGCCTGCAGTCGGCCATCTCACAAGCTATTCCTCCTTCAATGGGTCGGGCACTTCGCCTGCCCTCTTTGGACCACAGACCGGGCCGAGGTGTTTCCGCGTTCCATGGTACCTACTTGTTGGAGGAGAAGCCATGGACCAAGTCGCCCACCCCCCACAAAAAGCACAGAAAACCAACAAAAACACACACACACACACACACACACACACTTAAACTCCAAATGGAGAGTGCTCATCTTTCGAGTACAACTGATGAGTCTCGAGTACAACTGATGAGTCTCGAGTAAGATAAGTTTCGGCTCACGATGCACTCGGCTTCCCTCTAGTGACGAAAGCGTTACAAGGTCCAACATGAAGCACACACCGCGAGAGAAAGAAGAGGGCCAAATGGACTTTGCAACACAGATCAGCAGGTACACGGATTGGCGTCCCAATCCGCTTCATGGAGGTTCCACAGCCGTCTTCGTTGGCAGTAGGACTGTGGTCTCCCTACTGCCCCTTGCAGCAACAGAAAAAGGTTTTGGTGGCAGGGTATTCTGCCACTCCGCACACACACGCCCCTCAATGAGGGGCGAGAAACACTTTTTCGGGGGGGAGAAGAAGCGCCCGAAAGACGGACGAAGACCCCAACAGAAAACAAACGGAGCAGGCACCCAAAAGAAACAGAAAGCCCCACGTTGGGTCTCCGCGGGCAAAACCCCAACCGAGAAACACGAAAAACAGGGGAACCCGAGTTTTAGGGTCACCGCCGAGGGCAAAAACCCCAAACAGCCTCCTAAACCTGGAAGACGACCACCACCGCAAAGTTGAAGACCGAGAAGAGGACCAGGCCATCCCTAGACGGGCGAAGAGGAAGAACAGGAAGTAGTTGGAAAAGGGGGGGGGGGGAGGAAACGAAGAAAGGAAGAGAGAAAGAGAGAAAAAAGAAGGAACGAAAGAAAGAACGAAAGAGAGAGAGAGAGAGAGAGAGAGAGAGAGAGAGAGAGAGAGAGAGAGAGAGAGAGAGAGAGAGAGAGAGAGAGAGAGAGAGAGAGAGAGAGAGAGAGAGAGAAAGAGAGAAAGCGTATTTAGGGCGTCGCAACCGCCCGGGGGGAAAAAGAAACAGGGTGCGTATTTAGGGCGCCGCATCCCGCCCGGGAAGAAGGAAAAACGAAGAGAGAGGAGGAGGAGAGAAGAAGAAGGGAACGGGAGAAAAGGAAAGGAAACGAGAGAAGGGGAGAAGGAGGGAAAGAGGGACAGAAAGAGAGAAAGAAAGAAAGAAAGAAAGAACGAAAGAAAGAAAGAAAGAAAGAAAGAAAGAAAGAAAGAAAGTAAGTGTGCGTATTTAAGGCGACGCATCCCGCCCAGAGAAACGAGAGGACAAAGCCAATGCTCGAGGAAGAGGGCGTCGAATCCCGCAGAGGGGCCATGAGGAAGAGCACGATGAAGCAACGGTAGGGAACGAAGACGGCAAGCCAAACAGCGCGAGGGGACCGAGGACCACGAACAAATAGGCAAACAAGAAGAGGACGACGACGAAAAAGGCAAACGACGCGGCAGAGAAGAAGCCATCCCTAAACGGGCCAAGAAGAAGAACAGCAACACGCGGAAGACGGAAGGCCGGAAGAAGGAACGGGAGGAAGGAGAAGCCATCCCTAAACGGGCGAAGAGCAAGACGACGGACACGCGGACGACGAAGGCGAGGATGGAGGGTGAGACGTCACTATGGTCTGACCGCTGTCTTCCCTTTAGTGAAACCTCGTTCCTGGTTAAATGTGAAATTCCGCTGTTCTATGATCAGCACGTTGAGGTCAAATTTTCCGACAGAGCCGGCCCGGGGTCACACAATGGGTACACCCGAGGATTCCCCACGAATGGGGTGTACACACTTAAACTCCAAATGGAGAGTGCTCATCTTTCGAGTACAACTGATGAGTCTCGAGTACAACTGATGAGTCTCGAGTAAGATAAGTTTCGGCTCACGATGCACTCGGCTTCCCTCTAGTGACGAAAGCGTTACAAGGTCCAACATGAAGCACACACAGCGAGAGAAAGAAGAGGGCCAAATGGACTTTGCAACACAGATCAGCAGGTACACGGATTGGCGTCCCAATCCGCTTCACGGAGGTTCCACAGCCGTCTTCGTTGGCAGTAGGACTGTGGTCTCCCTACTGCCCCCTGCAGCAACGGAAAAAGGTTTTGGTGGCAGGGTATTCTGCCACTCCGCACGCACGCACGCACGCACGCACGCACGCACGCACGCACGCACGCACGCACGCACGCACGCACGCACGCACGCACGCACGCACGCACGCACGCACGCACGCACGCACGCACGCACGCACGCACGCACGCACGCACCCACACACACACACACACACACCAGAACCCACACACACAAAAAAAAAAAAGGAAGAACGCTCGACTGCGGATGATCCCGTGTCCCGGAGCCATCATTCACGCCGAGGCGCCTTCGCCTGCTCCTCCTCCATCTGCTTGTCGAACCTGAGCTCAAGCCGAAGTGATGCGGCTTGAAAAAAACAACTCACGCCATCGGATGAAAAAAACACATTTGTCAGCTTCAGCCTCAATTGGTGGTTTGGATTGGTGGTGGATCGACTTTAAAAGAAAACCCCAGTTCCTTTTGAATCTGAAATGAAATGGGAAGGTAGTCCCCAACGTCCAAACAACCAAACCAAACCACCAAGTGGGGGAAGCTCACAATTTGAATACTGGGATACACCAGCGCGGATGTCCGAACAAACACCACTCGGAAAGCTGGGACGAATATTGGGACCCTTGGACTTCATTTCAGGACTCCAAACTGGAGGGCAAAATCCACCCCGCCTAAAGCGCGGCCGAACGGGCCCTAACGGGGCCGAAGAGGCAAAAGCGCACCGCACCAGCACCAGACGAGACGAGGGGCTGGCCTTTCCTGAACTCCTTGAGGCTCATCTTGTTCAAGTTCATCTTGTCCTCCACCCGGCTCAGGGCCTTCTGCTGCAGCTCCCCCATCTTGCTGGTCTTCTCCTTCTGCAGCCTCGGAACAGAACAGCCCCTCGGGTGCCATTTTGGAACACTGGCATGCGAGGAAGCCCTTACATCGAGGAGGTACAAAAAGCAAAGTCTGGCGACGCCTTAAAAAATCAGGGTCTGAGTCCTGCCTGAAGAGAAGCCCCAAACTGTGGTGATCCACGTTGATTTAGGGAAGTGTTTTTTCCTCCGCATTGGAAGAAGTTGCCATTAGTGCCATTTCAGAGGGGAGCCTCTGTGGCAACACTCCATTTTGGGTTGTAGTTTTTGTTTTGTGCCGGGGCATTTTGGGTCGTTGCAACCGGAAACCAGGGCAAACAACAGACATACTCGCGTCGCAGGACCTTCTGCTTGAATGCTTGAAAGGGCCAGCCAATGGGTTGCTGCGGCCTTCGCAAGTGAAGGGCTGGGCTGAGGCCCTTTTTGGAATCTTCTTTAAAAGACGGCCGCACAAGGCTGCAGGTCCCAAAAAGGGCCCATACTGATGGACGAAATCCAATTCGCACCACTGTTCAGAAACGTAAATGCCCAAACAAAGCTTCTGGTTTCAACCCTGGGTTCATTTCCGTGCCTAAAACGGATTTTGCCACTCTCTGCATTTTCGAGACATGACACCCCGAAACCGAAGTCAAGGCCACCCTCACCCACCCAGGGACCCACCCAGCCTGTCTTTGGCAGAATGGAGGTGCCCCAACAGCTTCCCGAAGAGGTTTCTGCTCCTGGGGTCCGCCTGCCGCTGGCCGCTTGAGCAACTTCAGCCCCAGCCGCAGTCTCGGTGAGCTACAATCCGGTTTTTTTTTTTTTTTTTGTTGGTGGGAGCCGAGGGAATACCAAGGAAAAACCAACCTACACGGTTGATGGAATTGGTGCATGCTTCCCGGAGGAGAAAAAAAAGAAAGAAAGTGGGTGCTGTGCGAGCAAGGTGGTTCAAAGCTGAGGTTTGGTGTTCAAATCCAAATCCAAACCACCAGGGCTCCAAACCACAAATTCGAGGAAACCTGAAATCCGAAAAGGACCCTGCGAGGTGCGGGGGAATCCGGGCGAATCCGGGCGAATCCGAAAATGGCCGGCGTGGAGTTTTGCGAACGAAGCCCGCGCTCGCCTTTGCGGTCTTGCCCTCCTTCTTCCGCTGCTCCTAAGAACCGATTTCTGGCAAGCCACTGGTGCCTCATTCCCTTCGGATCTACGGAACTCTTTGTGCGAATCGACCCGATTCTCAGCCAGGGCAACCATTAAAGGAACACCCTCAAAAACACCCTGCAAATGGCGGTCTCTCAAATATATGTATATATATGTATATATATATACATATTCTATATGTATGAAAACATTTGTATATATATATATATGTGTGTGTGTGTATGTATATATATATATATATCACTGGAACGGATCTTGCCCCAACGTCTGGTAGGTGGCACCTGAGGTTTCGACCGGGATGCCTTAAGGCACCTTAGGCCGGCCGAGCGGCCAGCTCTTCATCCCGCTTCCGTTTTCTGCTCTCTCCATCCTCCTTCGGCTTGTCGTCCTCCTTCTCGTCTCCGTTCTCTTCCTTCCCCTTGGGTCGCAACCTAATTCATGGGCACCTCAACACAAAGCAAAAAACAAAAACAAAAAAACCTTCCCAGTTGGAGTACCGTTTTTAGCGCCCTTTGAGTCTTCAAATAGACCGGTGCTCCCCGCATCGTCACTCTGCATCCTTAGGTTGATGATTTGTTGTGTACTACTCACTCTGCTAAGCTTTGGTTTCAATTCCCTTTAAAACCTGCTCGAATCCACAAGTTGCGAAACCAGCTCACAATTAGAATTGACAGAAGTCAATTCAAGGACCGCCCGCCCGCCTCCTCTTTCTCCTCCTTCCCATCCTCCTTCCCATCCTGACTGTGCAGAGCCGCCAATTTCCTCTGCTCCTCGTCACCTTGGCAGACTCTGGCAGCCGCTCGCAAAGAACAACCCGTCCCACAAGCTCACAGCGATGCAAGTTGAGCCCAAACGGAATGCATTAGAGCCATGCGCCGTCACCAGGCACCTTGTCTATCTGGGACCCACAAAGCCAGGAAACTGGCTCCGATCCGAGCTTCCATCGGGAGGTTTTGGTGGGCACAAGTTTCATGGCTTGACCTATGTCCACCAATTCTTCAGTGTTCCGATCATGCGCGCCACACTCCCAATTTTTTGGCACAGGGGCCACAAGCACAAGCTGTGAATTCCTGGCCCAGTCAGCTCATTTATAGCTGAAGTCTCCAAATCGACCCGCTCCAAATCGCGGTTTCAAGGGAATCCACCTCCCAATGGGCCTCAATGCCGACTTTCATCCACAACTCGCTTCTTGAGTGGATTGGTCAGAAAAAAGAGAAAGTTTGTTTACCACCAAAGTGGTCCAAACCCAAAAAGTGGCCAAGTCGGAGGCTGCCCTGATAGCTCCTCTTGGTGTCTTCATTCCACTGGCGGTGTTGGGGGTGTCGGTCTGTGCTGTCTGCTGGGGCAGCGAGTGCGTGGGCAGAATTTTGCAAGATCAGCAGCAATATCTCGGTTACTGTCTGCTCCCTGCTAAAAGTTCAACTTTTAGTGGTTTAATGGAAAACCCGTTAGTTAGCAAGAAGTTAAAGTCCTAAGATCCAAGCAAAATGCACCAACGAAAAATGCGCTCGGCGTGTCAAGCTTTTACATTTGGGGAAGCCCGCCACAACAAGTTCCGCCAAACCTGGGGGTGTTTGGAGTTCATTTTCTAGGGGTACATCCAAGCAACATGCGCCAAAGGTAACGGCGCCCTGCGCCTGCTGGATCTGCGAAGCCTCCGGGGCTCGGGCCAAAGATCCGCTTTTGGGTCGCCTCCATGCGCCTGAGGTTGTTATCGATCTGCACCTCGCGGGGCCCAGGTCTCTCCTTTTAACAAATCCAGCGGCGTCCGTCACAGGCGAGTGACACACTGTCGGGTATCGACACGATCGAAACATGGTTTCGATCGATGAAACCATCAATCAAAACCCTGAAAAGTGGTCGAGCCAGAACCTTCACTTTGATTGTGACTCCCTTCATGTGGGCTTGCAAATGGCCCGCTTCAACTGTGGAAAGCTCAACCTGGAGTGGGCCACAGGGACCCAAGATTTACGGGTTCATGAATCCATGGAGCTCCAGGCCAAGAATCAGCTGGCTGGGTTTTCTGCCTGAAACACGGATTCTCACCTCGGAATCAAAGCTTTGGATGCTTGACTCCGGGAATTCTGTTGCCCCCAACCCCCAACCCCTTCCCCACCCCCCAACCGACCCCCCCTCAGTGACTCGAAGCTGGAAAGAGAATCGGAACCCCTTTGTGGGATTGACCGTTGCCAGAGGGCCCCCCAACCCTCCACGCAAAAAAAGACTTGGAGGGTACAACAGCACAACTCCCTTCTTTCCTTCCGCAACTCCAACCTTAGGCTGAACGGGCTGACCTTGGAAAGGCAGCATGAAGGTGGAGCAAAGGAGGTTGTTTGGGGGAGGTCGTCTCACCAACAAAAACGGAACAAGGGCACTGGACAACTCGGATAGTACAGAAAAGGGGCCATTCCAAAAGTCGTAACTCCAACCGCTGAACTCAGCCTCCAGCTGTTTTGTGTACCTTGTCCCATGAAAAACCTCCGAAATGGGGTGAGAAAAGCTTCCCTCAAACGTCCATCTGGGCCCAGGTTGGTCTGGGCCCAAAGGTTGTGAATGTAGAAGAGACATTGGGAAGCTTTGATAGCTTCTCCTTCACTCACGCCTATGGTTCTAGCTTGCTGCTACTCAGCAGGGTCCTTGGTCCCTAAAACCAGTGACCCTTTTTCCCATCTAACTGGCTTGCTTCCATTTGCGTAAAATCCCCAAAACCGGTTCATTCAACCACCCCCATCCAATGGTCTCCATTTATGGAATTCCCAAAACTCGGTTCATTCAACCACCTTCCCTACTTAGTCCCATCCATTTTCTATGGAACCCCCAAAACTCGGTTCATTCAACCACCATTTTCCCATCCAACTGGTGGTTTCCATTTTTGGAATCCCCAAAACCCCTTCCCCACAAAAAGGAAAAAAAAGGAAGAACAAAAAAAGGGTAAAAAAAAAACGATGGGGGAGGAAAAAAAAATCGCAAAAAACACGCAAGCCAAGCTTTTCGCGCCGCCTTGTCCCTGCGGAGCTCCTGCAGCTGCCTCTCCAGCTCCCGCCGGCTCAGCTCCTCCGACCTAGCGGCGCGAGCTGGGTGGGAGCCCAAGGGAAAACGGGGAAACCAGGGTCAGGGGTCTGAACGGCCCAAGGAAAACCGGAACAACACAAGAGAAATAAGAAGGGAAATGCCCCGGCAATACACACAAGTTAACAAACAACAAAAGCGGGGCCGCGCAGTGGTGCCGCCAATGGGGCTTCGGAGGCAATCACTCATCCTCGTTGCATGTATAATCATAGGCTGAACAGCTTTCATGCACGATAGCCTCCCCTCACCTACCAAAGATGCGGTGTGAATCGGGCAAACCCTGCAAAGCGCAAGCCCATTCCAGGGTTGCTGATCACTGCGTTCTGAAAGAAGCTGGCCCCGTTTCTTTTTCAAAGTCACTCAAGAGGTAGGTTTGCAGGAAAGTCCCATTTGACTTTGAAAACCCGAATAGGACAAAAAACAAAGGAAACCGATACATTGCCTCAAGGATGGCTCTCCCGAAATAAGCCCACTGGGGGGCGTGCCCGTCCTTTTCCCCCCCGCCCCCGTTCTGCGTCTTTCTTCCTGAGTGGATTCGTAAGAAAAAGCCCAGGAACTTGTTGTTTGCCAGCAAAGTGCTTTCCCAAACAATGCCAAGTCCAGGAATTCAGGACTTGGAAACTCCCAATTTACCACCAGAAAAGAAAACTGGGGAGTAGCATGAGAAACGGGTGTGTGATCTCCCCCCCGCCCAACCCCCCCCCAAAAAAAAAAGACCCCCCCCCCAAAAAAAAAAAAAACACCCGCCCTTCGCAAACAAAAGAATGTTGAGATACTGATGTTGCCCGGTGCCCCCAAAAGGAGCACGCCGCGGGTACCCGTGACCCGTGTCTCAGGCCCCGGGCATGGTGGCAGGTTGCCAGACGCCTACCCTGCAACCGTTTCTGGGAGCTCGGAGCCAAAAGATCCCCAGGATCCCACGAAAAGCAGCGTAAGGACCAGGGCGTGCTGCGGGACACACACATACAATGTGTATATATATATATGTATATATGTGCGTGTCTGTGCATGTGCATTCATAGACAAAGGGGCAATATATGTCTACATTAGACAAAATATAGAAAAATCATACGCATACGTCATACATGCAGAGGTAAAGGTGTAAATCTATAATCCGTTCTCCCAATTTGTAAAGGTCTCCCTATTAATGAATATTTGTTTCGGAAGTCCCAAATCCGGGATCTACTTGTAGAGTAGCAAATGCTAACCCAATTGTAAAGGAGGCATTTTCCTGCCCGTACTCAAATGCAGCCCTATTAGGGGGACCCAGGAGTACGTCTCCTATACTACGGTCATACTACAAAGTTGCGACTTTCAAGCCAGAGCTACGTTTACTTTACTGCGGTCGACTACAAAGTAACGACTTTCGAGCCGGAGCTCCTTCACTACCGTCGTAACACAAAGTTCTGACTTTCCAGCCAGAGCTGCGGGAGTACGTTTCCTTTACTACGGTCGTACTACAAAGTTACGACTTTCAAGCAAGAGCTCCGGGAGTACGTTTCTTTTACTACTGTCAGAACTTTCGAGCCGGAGCTCCGGGAGTACGTTTCCTTTACTACGGCCGTGCTACAAAGTTACGACTTGCGAGCCCGAGCTCCGGGAGCACGTTTCCTTTACTACGGCTGGCTGCACTAAGTACAAAGGCTGGTGGTCAAAGTCAAAGGGCGCCTCAAACCAAAAGTTCTCTCTCTCTCTCTCTTTCACTCTTTCTCTCCCTCTCTCTCTCTCTCTCTCTCTCTCTCTCTCTCTCTCTCTCTTGTCAAGAGACATCCATGAATACATTAGGGCAGTGTGTACATGAGGTAGACATTGTCCCTGACAGGCCTTGAGCCATACAGGTTCAAGCTGGCACATGTGAAAACAGATGCACGACAGCTGCCGCCGCTCACACACAGGTTCAAACATTTGCACACTGAAGTTTTACATGGTAGCGGAGCAGTGATCCCTGGTACACGACCCACACTACCCAGGGTGAGCTCCAACACGCACTCACAGGTTTAGGTGTACGGCAGTAAGTAACACAGCATGGCACAAGCATCCACAGCACAAGTAGCAGTCACACAAGTGCACAGATACAAGATACCGCCACCACGGTTCAATGGCACATATGAGGCCTTCGAGGAGTGGAAGTACAAGATGACAGCATACCTTGGGTTACAAGACCAAGCATACCCACAGCTACTCTCAGGAGCTGAGACAGCAACACACACACTGGACAACGACGACCTCGAAACAGCAGCACCAGACACAGCCACAGCAGAACACTGGAAGCAACTTGGGAGCGACCTCAACTACATCCTCGTTAACACTTGCGACGACACTGCAGCAACAATCTGCAGACAACATGCAACGAACACTGGCTTCGAGATCTGGAGACAACTCCACATCCGGTTCTCGATACCCATAGGTACACGAAGCATCGGTTACCTCACAAAGCTTCTCAAGCCACAATTCGACGAACATAAGTTTGAAGAAAGCTACACCACATGGGAGTTTGAGGTCACACGGTACGAAAGGGACAACAACACAACACTGCCGGACAATGTCAAAATAGCCATACTGCTCAACGAGACAAAAGGACCACTGCAGCAACACCTACAGCTACAAGCAGGCTCAATCACAACGTACGCACAGATCAGGTCACTGATCTTGGAATACCACAGAGCATCAACAGCATTTGCACGACTACACACACTGACACAAGCATCAGCAAGCAGCGGACAAGGACCAGCACCAATGGACATCGGCGGCACATGGCACAAAGGCGGCAAGAACAACAAAGGACAAGGAAAAGGCAAGCACAAAGGCAAATACAACAAAGGAAAGGGCTACGGCGGCTACGGCAACAAAGGCAACAACACTAACTACAACACAGGTTACAACAAAGGCAAAGGACAGCAGGGTCCCATAGGACAAGGAAACCCATACGGAGGAGGAAAAGGATTCCACAAAGGAAAAGGAAAAGGAAAACACAAAGGAAAGGGATACAGCAAAGGAGCAAAAGGGAAAACAGCAATGAACATCTGCTACAGATGTGGACAACCGGGACACTTCGCCAAGAACTGCCAAGTTCCGGTCTACAACTTGGACACGGATGGAGACTACAACAACACAGACCCCTCGTTTCAGTGGTACAACACACAGGACACTTACGACAACACCTGGTACAACCAGGATCAGACACCGTACAACCAAGCACCACAGTTGGCACTACCGGCAGCGCCAACCAACACCACACCACTGGTCGTCTCAGGCATAGACGACATGCTCATTGGAGCAATACAAGCAGCAGACACAAGCGACATGGACAACAGAGCAGTGCAACTCATGATAGATAGTGGAGCAGCAACACATGTTTGCCCAACATGGTTTGCAACAGACTACCCACTGCAACAGATACAAGAGGACACAGGACCACAACTCAGAACAGTCACAAACCAACCAATCAAAGTACACGGGTACAAATGGATCTGCATGCAAAACGACACAGGACAACACATAGTGATACCCTTTTATGTTTGCGACGTCAAACAACCAATCCTTTCGGTCACAAGGTTGGTTCAACAAGGGTTCAAAATCACACTTGACGAACAACCGAACATGCAGCACAGCAAAGGCTTTCACAGCAACCTGGTACAGCAGAATGGCCTTCTGTTCCTACAGATGCACATTAGCATCATGGCGGACAACATGGAGCTACAAGTCAGGGACACACCGCAAGGACAAGTAGCAACAATAGCACCAATCACAACGATAGCACCAACAACTCTCACGCCAACGGGAGCAGACATTGTCAGAGGAGGCACAAGTGACCTCTGGCAATACAACAACAGCGGAGAACTCGTGCGAGTACACAGAGTGTACAGGAAAGCACTGTTCACACCCGAACGAACAGAATGTCCAGTGTCACTCGACAAACTGGAAAACTACAGGCGAACCACAGTCAAGAAGCAAGATGGCGCAACATACGTCATCGAAGAACAGTATCAGACACTAGACAGCAAGCAACAACACAGAACGCTCCCACATTCGTGGAAAGGTGAAACAGTCTTCCGAATCAAGAAACAGCACCAGCAGTCGGCGGCCCAGCAACAACAAATGGCGGCTAAGCAACAGCAAACGGCAGCACAGTCAACCACCACAATAGGAAGACAGGCAGCAACAAGAATCACTCCACATGTCATTAGTTACAACCCAAAGATGAGACTGACAACAAAGACAACACCACAAGCGCAAGGAATTCCACAACCACACCACATGACCCCAACATCGGACTACTGGATTCGCGAAGGACATCTTTGGAAACGAGTACATGTTCTACCACGACAGGACTTCTACATCCCGGAGAACACCACAGATGGACCAGACATCAAGAACCTCACGCCCTTCCGCGGTACAAGATCTACGAAGGTCGGCGACAACAACGAGCACAAGTACATCGAGGACGAGTGGACAACGCAGCCCAACAAATCCCACGATTTTCTGTGGACAGGTTCGACCAACTTCGAGGAGAACGCGCAGTACGACACGCAACTACATCCAGGAGATGATGAAGAAGCACAGCAGCAAGCACACAGAGCAAAAGCAATACCAGCACCGAAGCAACCAACAGCACAAGAACTAGCAGAACATGAGCTCACACACCTTCCCTACAGGAGTTGGTGTAAAATATGCACACAATCAAGAGGCAAAGCAGACGCACACAAGCAGCAACAACAAACAAGCAGAAGCCCAGTAATACAACTTGACTTCGCGTACTTGAAGAGCTTTGACGACCCGGCGTACCAGACAACCCCGGTTCTAACAGCAATCGACATACAGACAGGCATGATGATGGCAGTGCTCATCAGAGACAAGCAACAACAGTTCGAGCACGCAGTACAACAGCTGCAGACATTCCTTCTGGAATGCGGCCGCACACATGCCATCTTACAGAGCGACCAAGAGGACTACCTCAAAGCACTGATCAAAACAACAGCACACAGAGTAGGACACATGCAAGTGAGGTTCTCGCCAACATACAGCTCACAATCACAAGGAAGCGTTGAAAGAGCACACCGCACACTGTTTGGACAAATCAGGACACTGAGAGCACAACTTCAACAGAACTACAACAGAAAGATCAACCTGCAACACCCACTAATGGCATGGATGGTAAGGCACAGCGCCTACATCCTCAACAGATATGCCATTCACAGCAACGGACACACAAGCTACTTCAACAGGTGGCAAAAGAACCCACAAACTCCACTCTGCGAGTTTGGAGAAACAGTGCAGTACATGGTTCCGACACTCAAACAATACCCAAAACTGGAACAGCGCTTCTTCGACGGCATCTGGTTGGGTCGAGATGAGAGCACAGGGGAACACATCCTTGGAATCAGCAACAGAGTCATACGAGCAAGGACAGTCAGAAGAACAATAGCACCACACAAATACAACCAGCAGTTGATGGATGTAGTCAACGCAGGACCATGGCACATACCACCACCGACAGCACCGATCGCAACAAGAGTAGCGCGACCAACAAGAGAAACAGGAACAGACACCTCACGCACAAGCACGCAAGATGCAGGAACAAGCACAACAAACGAGCATAAGCGAGCGCCGCAGCAGGATGGATCACCAAGAAAACAACAACGACTTCTTCCTGGAGATGCTGGACCTACATCACCAATGGCGACTTCACCGACGACATCAAGACGACCACCACTACCACCACCAACACGAACACGCGCAGATGAAATAGCAGAAGGAAGCACAAGCAAGCAACAGAAAACGGAAGCAGTGCAACAGCAGAAGGAAAGGCCAGAGCAAACAGAGCAACCGAAAATGAAGCTCAGGATTGGAGCCATCACAGCAAACAACAAAACAGGACAACCAATAGAAGCAACATCTTGCGAGGATCAACAGGAAGCAGAAAATGAAAGAATACTACTAGAACCAATCCTGAACAACACCAACACGGAGGACCTAGACCCACAACTGGTGGCAGAAGGTATGAAGAAAGAGATCAAGCAAATGAAGGAATACAATGTCTTCACAGAGGTTGACATCAGAACACTCACGCCGGAACAACAACGAAACATTGTGGAATCAAAGTGGGTGCTGAAACCAAAAGCAGATGAAGTCAGAGCGCGCACAGTGGCAAAAGGCTACACCGAAAACATAGCAGACACAGACACACTGTACGCATCAACACCAATGTTCAGCATCCTTCGCACACTTCTCACAACAGCACTAGCAAAAGGATGGAAAGCTCGCACAGGTGATGTCAGCGTGGCATTCCTACATGCCATAGCAGCAACAACGGACATCCACATGAGACCGCCACAAGAATTTTACGATGAGAACAACAAGCACATTGTTTGGCGGCTCAACAAAGCAATGTACGGCCTTAGGTCCAAGTCCCAAACAGTGGCAAGATCACATAGCAACAGTCCTCACAAAGCTTGGACTAACACGACTCAAAACAGACTCCAACGTCTACAGGAACAAGGAAGGGACAGCCTACATCATGATCTACGTCGACGACCTACTTCTACTTGGAGAAGGACACATCATCGACAAGATCTTCGAACAGATCGAGAAGGAGGTTCTTCTACGACCCACAGGTGAACTACAACCAGGTACAACAATTTCCTTTCTCGGAAGGAAGATTACACACAACGGAAACAGCGTGGACATCAGCCTGCAGGACAAGTACGTCAACGACATCCTGGCTGAAGCAAACATGAGCAACTGCAACCCAGCACCAACACCATGTTCACCAGCACTTAAGACAGACACCAACACAGAGCAACCTCTGAACACAGAGGAACACAAAGCATACAGAAGGACAGCTGGCAAGATACAATGGCTAGCATACACCAGACCAGACATTTGCTTTGCAGCAAAGGAACTTGCACGTTCCTTACAGGCACCAACACAACTCGACAACCAGAGAGTTAAACACTTGCTCAGATACCTAAAAGGCACACAGCACTACAAGCACAGAATACAACCAGTCATGCAGCATGGAGACAAGCGAGTCCCGGTCGACATCAACATCTACACCGACGCAAACTGGGGCTCATGCCAAACAACACGCAAGAGCACAACAGGCTTTGCAATACACTACCTCGGCACATGCATACACTTTGCATCACGCACGCAAGCAGTAGTAGCACTTTCCTCAGCGGAATCAGAGCTATATGCCATAGGCACAGCATGCACAGAAGGACTGTACATACGCAACTTTGTACAGGAAGCATTCGACATCAAAACGAACCTAAAGATACACACCGACAGCAGCGCAGCAAAATCCATCACAATGAGAGAAGGCACATCAAAGAAAGCAAAGCACATTGAACTGAAACACCTCTTTGTGCAACAACTAGTAAAACACGGACTGATCTCGATGCACAAGATCAGATCAGAGCACAACCCAGCAGACATCCTCACCAAAGGAGTGAACACAGAGACACTCCACAAGCACCTCTACAAGGTTGGTCTTCCAGACCGGCCCACATCTCGGATGTGACAACCACGACGCCAGTTTCACACATGTTGAACAGTATGTAACACACGTAATGTTCGACAAGTTGCGACTCAGTAACATCCACAGTATTTGCACGTACTTGTGGTACCGTAACGACCTTCGCACTTTGTCACTTGTCTGTTTTAAAATAACAAGTACAAGCGGGGCAGCGTTTCACAGTAGAACATCGCGCGATGGACAATTCTTTGCCATAACTTTCGGATGGTTTCAGGACACACTGGGAACACATCCCGATACATCTTTTCTCCTTTCACCTGCATGTCTTCGAAGTTGCTTTAGAAACCTGCAGCCATTTTGCACCTTTTTGTAGAGCAGTGCAGCTCAAGTGCGGCGATGGCGCAACACAGGGCGCATCACACCCTGCACATGAGGTCGGACATTCCACCGGGTTTCACCTCTCAAGTGGTCCCAGGACACATAGGGCAACAGCCAGACAATGTTGCAGACTACACTGAGATGATCCTCCCGGCCACGGAAGAGGAGGTGGAGCACCTCACTTCTGGCCACACCAAGGACATCGACGTGATCCCAGGGAACATGCGCATGCCTCACATGGAAGTACTAGGCCTCCTGTACAGCCCCATAGACTGCCTGATGTACATGCTTTGGCTCTACAATACCAACGGTTGTTCGACAAGGAACTTCGGTGCAACCTATTTGATCCATATCTGGATCAACACGCATCAGTTGTTCCACATGCTCTATCGCAAGGTGCTTGTACCCTTCAACCGGGGCTATTCGTCGCAGATACTACAGCTGGACAAAAGCGCAGCGCTGAAGCTCACACTGGCGGAAAAGGCGTCGATTAGGGTGAACAAGATTATGGGAGACATTTGGAGTCTTCATGCCATGTACAGCATCCGCAATGGGTTCATCACAGTTCAACACGTCGTTCTGCATCTGGAGACATTGTTGGAGTGTGATGTCGGTGACCTTCGACACGGAGCCGCAGCAATGGCATTCAATTTGCTGACGTTCGGTGACCTGATGAACATCCCAGACCGCTTGCGACAACGGGTGCAGAATTACATTCTGCAGCACAAGATCATCTTGAATGGCTGCATTGATCACCCTGCGCCTGGAACACCGGAGTTTGCTCAACAAGCCAGAGAGAATCACAAGCAAGAACAAGTGCTGGAACAGATCAAGGGTTACAGGCTCCTACACTCAGACATTGCCGCACCTTGATACATTGGTGCTGCAACATTTGGCAACCTTGAGAAAGCAACTGCACAGAAGAGATTGTGATACATTTGCTTCTGGAAACAGTTTGGCTTATGGACACAGTCTTGCGCATGAGGTTGCTTCTCACGGACGATGCTTGTACAGAGCTTCGACAAACTAGGGCACTGTCGAATAGGAGTTGTACAGTAGCGACAACATTCTTTCGACACCCGCAACTTTAGAAGCTGCATCTGCCCTCAAACATTGGCCTTTTTTGAACGGAGTGTACAAGCTTTGTACAATCCGAAGAAGGGTGTCAAGAGACATCCATGAATACATTAGGGCAGTGTGTACATGAGGTAGACATTGTCCCTGACAGGCCTTGAGCCATACAGGTTCAAGCTGGCACATGTGAAAACAGATGCACGACAGCTGCCGCCGCTCACACACAGGTTCAAACATTTGCACACTGAAGTTTTACATCTCTCCCACTCCAAAAAGGTCCCTTTGAGCGACCCAAAACCCACAACGAAAAAAACAAAACATGATCTCGACTTCTGCTGTTTCAATTCCTTACTCGGAAATGGAGACCGGAAAGGGGGGACCACAGTTGCAGACAAGCTTGCAAAGAATAAGAGGTGCCTCCAAAACCTGCCCTCCAGAACCAGGGGACCCCTAACAATAAAAATGTTTTGCCGGGAGGAAATTATTTTTTTATTAGGGGGGGTGGTTGTTGTTAGGTTTGTGCGCGCACACACACATGTATACATATGTAAATATGTAGACATGCTCTCCTGCAAACATCACTCAAAACATCGCCACCAAACGGACAATTCACATTGGCCCAAAAGGTTGGGTGAAACCGCCAAAAAGAAAATCTAGCCAGGGGTCTGTTGATTCCTCCTTGCGCGGCCTTCAACCAAGCTCTCGAAAGTGGGACCCGAGAATGACACATGATAGCGGCCTCTTGTTTGGGAAGGTCCTTCTCCCCTTCTCCTTACTTCGCCCAACCCACAAGCCCAGGTGTGCACCATTTCAGAGAGCGGTATTGGCCAGGCCGAGCATTCCAACTCAAGAAACCAACTGCCCTTCACAGGGCTTCCTGCGCTTATCCCTTTGAGACTCGCTTTAAATTGCTTTAAATTGGGCCAGCTGCCCTGCTTCAACCGTTTCTGAGCATCTGGTCTGGTGCCCAGCAGGATGAGTGGCCTACATGTGCCACCCATTGCGCGCAAATTCGAAGGTCTAAGAAGGCTGGGACAGCCAGCTTGCACTCTGGCCTGCTTCTTTCTTTTCAACCTGCAATCTTGCAACATGAAGCACATCCCGACACGACAGAAAACAGCTGAGGAGGAATAGTAAGCAAGCGAGAACTGATCATTCAGCGTCTCGCCCAGCTGCAACCACCACAGCCCAAGCAGCGCTCCTTTTCCCCGCCCAGATGAGCCGAATACTGCGCGGCGGCCTCGGCCACTCTTTGGGCCTGTGCGCCGCTCAGGCAGCAGGCGGTCCTGGAAGCTTTCCACAAGACTGGCTGGAAGAACCCCTGCCCGGCCGATGAATGCGAAGATCTGGATAAAACGACGCCAGTGGTGCAGTGGGCGCTTCTCTTGGCAGACGGCAACCCCTTTGATGCCGCTGATGCGTGTGATGTGTGTGTGTGTGTGATTGTGACGGGTGATGCCGATGATTCTGGTAATGTTGCCAGCACCTCCAAAAGTGCAGCTCCCTGGCAACGAGGGCGAGCAGTTTGCACACGCATTGGCTTGCGTCAGACTCACGGAGCGTAATTTCTTAGCTACTGTCAGAAACGCAAGCAGCAGCTCAGCCAAAAGGCCCTCCTCCAATCACTCGGAAAAAAGAGAGTCCTCAATTTGGTTCGACCCGCTCGGTTCTCTGATTGCAGCCTAGGAGCGTGTTTGCGAGCTAAGATGAATCAAACAAGGGTGATGCGATGTCATGCAAAATGTATCATGGTGCGAGATGAGGTAAAGGTGAAGAAAGTGGGAGGCAGGGCTAGCACGCATGCAGGCACATGCATCTTTCCACGAGCTCTGCGCACATGAAACATCAAGGACACTGAAGCAGGAAACCAGGAAGCATTTTCCCAATGCCTCTCCTATCGGTTTCTTCCCCCACCTCCCCAGCCCTCGAAACAATTCTCTCTCTCGCTCTCTCTCTCTCTCTCTCTCTCTCTCTTTTTGTCTCTCTCTCTCTCTCTCTCTCTCTCTCTCTCTCTCTCGTCCTGCCGGTGACGGGCTCCACGATCTTCCAGCCTGCAAGACCGCAAGGCTCCACCACCCCATGCCGGCTCAAATCACGGCAGGTTCCACGGCAGGTCGCGGTAGATCGCGGTAAATATGCGCTGAAAATCATGGCACATCTGCACATGTTGCGGTACATCCCCATTGAATTTGAAGGGTCCCCCGAACTCACTGGCCCCCCGTTGCCCAAAAAAAAAAAAAAAACAATAGTGGACAGGTCCGCGGCATGGAGCAAGCCCTGCTCCCAGAACTTTATGCCGACTGGCTTCCCACAATTCTGCCCGGACATTCTCTGTCGCACATGTTTTGATGCTAGTGGATTTCTCTTTCCTCGTCGGAGTTTGCGGATTTCAATCCCATGGCTTGCGCCGCCCGGACAGCTTCCCTTTGGCGCCTTCCGCGGGCGAAGCGGCCGACTCCGTGCGAAGGTCCAGGAGTTTGGGCGAGGGGTCCGAAACGAAGGCCAACCAACCTGGCCGTCAGCTGGTGTGCAAGCGGGGGCTCAAGTGCCACTTTGGCATCCACAGAACTGCAAAAATCCACGTGCTTTTCTCACGGCAAGCTCCCGCCGCCCCCGGTTTTGAGTGGGGAACCTGCCGGAAGGTCCGGAATAGAGATGCCCAGGAACTGCAATCTAACGAACACCATGGGGGAAAAGTGAAGGATCCAAGCAGGGCTGGAAGTTCATCCTGGTCATGACATGTTTTAGATGTGGATTCTCCTCTCCCGCGCCATCCCAACAAGAAGCCTACCACTCGGCCTTGCTGGTCGCATCGGCCCTTCGGGATCGTGATTGTTGGGGGACCCTTGACGAGGGTAGCATCTCGCCCAGGGGACATGGTGAATCACAATCAAGCAGCATGCCAAACCAACAGTCGCGGCTTGCACACCTAACTACAACCTCCCCTTGGGAACTGGTCGGCCGCAATTTTGACTACATGCGCCTAGTTGCTACACCATACGGGAATGAACCTTCCAGCTTTCACTGAAGTTGCACAAATGGTGCTGCAAAAATCTGGGAGAGGCCTGTGGGGAGAGATCGGCACCAAATTGTCCGGCAACTGGTCACCCCCCCACACAGGTACCTAGGGGGCTTGCCATAGGTGGTCCGTTTCCCTTAACCATGGCTCTCAAAATACGGGCCCCTCATGCTTCCTCTAGGGCCCCCCAGTCCTCCCCACGTTTGCCAAATCCAAACCTCCAGTGGATCTAGATGACCCAGGCACTCGCCGATGACGTTCACCCTTCAACCCCATGAATTCCAAACGGTAGAACCGCCTCAAGTGACCATTCACATTAAGGTGGTCGGCTTGTTGGAAAAAAAGGGCGACCCTTTCCAAAGTCGGTCTTACTAGCTGGTGCGATAAGTAGGGGATCTGGAAATAACCCGGACAGGGATTTCCGAATAAAAAACAACCACCAGCTACCAGTTGGATGGTTTATATCGAGGTCATTCCATTTCTCATTCCTTGCTGAGCTGATGAGCACCAGCAAGCTTAGAACTCCCTCACCCGGCGCTTCCCTTTCGCCTCGAAAGAGCTCCTCCGCTTTCTCGTCGTCTTTTGACGGCTCCGACAGCTGCGACCGCTCGTAGCAGTCCGGGCACGGAGTTCCGCGGCGCGCGAGGAAGCAGAGGCCGGTGAGGGTGAAGAGGAAGGAGTTCCTAGGGATCAGTTGGGTGTAAGTATGTGTAGTTGTGTCCTTTGGGGTTGAGGTTGCGTAAAAGGGATACCCCATTGCGGGCGTTGTTGCAGAACCTCTGTTCGGTTGTGTCACAAGCCAGCGTGGAACGGCCTCAATTTGCCTGGGTTGCTTGGCCTACCTGGGGAACCCAAGAGAACCACGAAAGGAATTTGTTGGTGAACTACTATAACTCACTTGCCCAAGGGACCCAGAAATAAAAGGTTAACCTGTTGGCACCTTTACTAAAAATGGACCAACAAGGGAAATTTAAAGGGTCAAAAGGTCGGCTTTGGGCAACTGAGATAAGGATAACTGGGATCCACTGAGGCTCTCCCACCTTTCGTATGGAACACGGCAGGCAAAGAGCCTTGTGCATGGGATTAAGCACGAATTGCGCTCTTGGCATTCTTTCCGTAAGGTAGTGCAGCCGCTAGGCCACAACGATTTATGCAAGCCACCCGAAAGTGGCGATGAGAAATGTGATCCACCACGTGGGCAAGGATGATCACCAGGGCTTCACTTGCTCGGGCCAAACGCTCGAGCCTAGAAAATCTAACATGGCATACACGCCAATGGCGAACGTGGTGAAACCATTCCCGTTCGCGCCTCAGCCTATTCAGCCTTGGGTGAGGTCTTGCTGCACAAGCCGCTGCTGTGAAATGAATTGGCCCAGGTAGCCAGTCAGACGCCTGCGCAAGAGACACATCAAAGCCCAGCCAGGGAAGAGCACGGACACAACTGCAACGGCCTTGAAATCGTAGAACGGGAAGGATTCGGCAACCAGAAAGCAACCCACTGCGAAGAGAACGACTGGGCTCGCGAAAAGTATCAGGAGCAAGTTGGTCAAGACCTCGCCGCATCTGGAGCTGGATTCATGGCGAAGGCAGTATGCCAAGAATTTAGACCACGAGATCAAGATAGGATAAAGCAAAAACACCGTAAGCCCGAGAGAGAGCCACATCATGAAGTGCGGCCAGTTCGGCTCAGGTCTTCGCAACTCGAACTGAAATAGATCGAATATGGCCCACTGTCTGCGCCGGGCTTAGGATAGCAACACCCCAAGCATCGCTAAAAGCGTTCCTCTCGAGCTGCGCCGTAATCACATCCACAACTTCGGTCCTAATACACTGTTCAAAGTTATCCGTGCTGCCAAACCACTTCGCAATGCATTCGGAAATGACCTGTCTGTCACACATTGCCTTTCCACCACATGAAGTGCATGTGCCCAAACTGCAGCAGCTGCATTCTAGCTCTTCCACCTTCAAGGACGACAGCTGCCTTTGCATGAGTTCTATAAAACGGTAAAAGCCACGCATGACATGGGAAAAAGCATAAGCACCAGCAACACCAGTGGCTGCGAAGCCAGAAAGGTGCCACACATATGGAAATAACTCCCCTTCCACAGAAATTGGAAGTACAATGAGAGGAATGCATGCCACCGTGACCATTGCATAAACAGCGAATGAGACTGGCCCTGTCAGGGTTGGGCAAATGACAAGAGGCCTTTCTCGTGTCTTCTTGCTTTCGAGGAATGCTGCAACCTCGAAGACGCACCACAATCTTTCGGCAACGGAAGAATCCCAAAGCACCAGCATGGAGTCTGACTTGTCAAGAATCCCAGCCAGGCTGCAAATGGCCTCCACCTTCAGATCAGAGGCCGTACCGATGCAAATTCGATCGAAGAAGACGACCTTCCTAGACCGCCAGCATGCCAAGGTCAAGATAGTGCCAGCGCCGCCCAGCGCTGATGACCACACCGAAGAATTCCCGCCACCGCCCCCCAAATCCAAGCCTGGCAGGATGTGGAGCTGAAAAAGTGCAATGCCCAGCAAGGCGCACAAGTTGCCCACGGCAATCGCAGCAAAGCCGTTCTTCAGCACCAAAAGGGTCAAGAGCTTCGGCCAGGCGCGCGAGTGCCAAGAATGGCTCCAGAACTCCTGGATCTTCTGCACCTCCCAGCTCTTCTCAAAGAAGTCCCCCTCCACTCCTCTCACAGCCGCCGCCGACTCGAAGGCATGGCAGGCCAGGGTGGAACGCAGAACCTGGACGTGCAGGCGCTGTACCTCGGGCTCCGGCTCTTCCGCACAAGGAGCACCAGTTGAGGATCCTCTGGGTCTGGCCGGCCCTTTTGGCTAACTTGACCCGCCATCCTGGAAACGTGCAGAGAACAACCTGGTGGGCAGAATGCCGAAGCTGAAGAGCCAAAATGGCAAAGAAAACCCCTGCACACCCCTAGGGTGGAATGCTTCCAAGCTGTGCATCCTTTCTCCTCCCAGTGTTGCAATTTCCTCCCGCGTGTCTCAACATGACATCCTCAAGATGACCCTCCAAATGTTGGTTGAAACGGAAACCACCCCAACCTTGCCAGGTGTTCAAAGGGACCGGCCACGCCATCCTCAGGTTGACCACTCTTTGCTGGGGAACCCACCAAACAATCAGCTTCCCCTAAATGGAGCGGTTTGGTGGATAAGGGGTGGTTTCCCATGTACCCAGTACAAAAGCCAAGGGTTCAAATCCCCAAACCACCAATCCAAACCACCACCTAACGGTTACCAAACAACCAACCTACCTACCAACCTACCTACCAACCTACCTACCAACCTACCTACCTACCTACCTACCTACCAACCAAACCTACCAACCAAACCTACCAATCGACCAAACCTACCAACCTACCTGAAACAACCAAAAAAAAGGACACGGCCTTCACCGGGCGTCGGGTAGCCCTCCTCCCGCGGCAGCAGTCGCCGCACTTCGCGCGAAGCGGCGAAGCGGCGGATCCGCAGCACCAGGCCTTTGGCCACCCCGTGGCGCAGCCAGCGCGCAACGAGAGCGTCCTGCACGGACGCTAAAGAAGCCGAAAGAAACGCTGTCTCCCTGACGTACCTTGTCACAGAACCAAAAGCTTGTTGAAGCAACAGTGGTTTCACCGTTCAACTGCGTTATTATCATCATCATTACTATTATTACTATTATTGTTATCTTAAAGAGGGTACGCAGGCAAAGGGAAGCCGAAAGAAACACCACCATTTGTGGTTGCGTGTCCGACTTTGTTTACTTGGCGTGTTAAAACAGGGATCTTTTTGAGGCGTTCCCACCCTAAAAAGGGACACTCTCAGATTGTAGGGGTGCCTTCCATTTCCATTATTTTAAGGGATCCTTCTTTCCAGAAAACCTCCGGAAACCTGGGGGAAACGGATCCGGAATTGGAAATGACAGATGGTTGAAAAGAATGGGAATCAACCCCTAGATTCTTGTTCCTTTGGTCCGAATTCCCATTGAAGCCCACCCTCTGAAGAACCCAAGTAGAGGACATCCATCCTATCAACAGGGGCGTATCTAAAAGCGAAAGAGCCCGCACCAAAAGGGCACATATTTCTCAACCAAGTTGCTGCTTTTCTTTTGGGGGGTCCGGGGTTCACCATGACCAGCTACTCGCATGGACCCCAGTGGCACTGGCTGCGGACTCTTACGATGGCTTCCCTCAAACCACCCCTGTGAAAAAAAAAACACTTCGCACCACCGTTCAGCAACCCTGGTTTCTGATGATTCCCCTGCAACTACCAACCAACGTTATGGTTTCAACCCTGTTGCGAAATAGATTTCGCCACCATCCAACGGTATCACCAGACCGCGCCTACCAAACAGGCAGAAGCAAATCAAGAGCCCGGGTTTTCCCCCGCAGTTCAACGACTTTCAACTTCCATTTGCTTAAGCCCCCTGGAAAAAATACAGAAAAATCCAGTAGTGATCAATTCCTTTTAGAACCAACAGGGGAAGAAAATCTTAAACATATGGACTTTCAAGTCTCCAAGGCCCATCGCCCCGCCGCGCGGCGTTTTTGTTTCCCCCAGTCCTTCGCCAGGGCGTGCGGGTCCCGGCGCTTTTCCACCACATCCAGCAGCATCGACGTCGACCTGCGGAATCCTTCACCGCCAGGCTTCAGTTTTCCGTAAACGCCTTTGGGGCGATAGGCAGGGAATGAGACATGGAAGGACCCCAAAGAACACAAAGCCTGGGTTCACTTCCCACAAATTCCCGACTTCTCGCACCAGAAAGCTTAGCTTGAAGCCAACATGGGTGGGCTTCTTTGTGCGCCCTGCCAAGCAAGCAACAACAGAAGGGCGGTACCTGGGCCTAAGGGAAACCAATGGGAACTGTTCCCCCCCGCCCCCCTCCCCATTGTGAGGAGTTTCGCTTCAATCCATCTTTCCGCTTTCCTAGTTGTTTTTTTCCCGAGTTGGACGTAGGGGTGGTTGATTGGACCTCAGTGGAAAAAGCCTTTGACCTGACCCGCACCCAAAAAAAATCAGAAAAAGAACCCAAAGGCAAAATGAGCATGTGTCAAACTAGGAGATTTTACAAGACCCAATCTGGGCTCCCCTTCTGAACATCACCCTACGAAACTCACCTTTGAGCCCCTTTTGGGCCTTGCCGAGACAAAGACACCAGTAGGGAACCTTCGAACGGAAAGAAACCGCAAACCCTACCCTCCAATGGAAGTGGACGTGGGAATTGTGCAAAAGGAAAAATGTTCTTGTCCAAAACCTTCCGATTGTCAGCTTGCTTTGGATGGAGGCGGGAGTTGAGAGCCCTACTGTGGATGGACGAAGTCTTGCACCACTGGGGATGGATGAAATGGAACAATCCACCTACCAAGTGGTGCGGATTTTGTCCAGGTAGGGTTAGGCATTCCTTGCCATGTCCATACAGATTTCCTGGTAGCTCGGAAATGCTCCCTCTCCAAAAGCCAAATTTGGATACCACCAGCTTGCAGCTCATTCCAGGATGACCAACCAAGCAACCTAAGCAACCCTAGAATCATTGTCGCCCTGCGAAATACCAACCAACGATGGTTCCCATGCTTTCATTTGGCCGTGGCTCCCCGAAAAAGAAAAAGGAAGAGTACCAAAAAATGGTACCCGAATAAATGGAGCCAAAGACTATCACCTGCGCACCCCTAGCTCTTTAGCTTTGAGCCACACATTGGAGGCGGGAGTTGAGAGCCCTACTGTGGATGAGACTTCGTCCTACACCACAAGGATGAAATGGAACAAGCCACCCCAAGAGTGGTGCGATTTCTTCCGGGACGTCGCAACCCATGGCGAGCCCGGTCGTCCGTGGGACTCCACCCGAACCGCACCGACCGAGGCGGAGCCAGGAGGCCTGTGGCGCAGCAGCAGGCGGGGCACCCGCGCCTGGGGGATGAACTCCACCAGCTCCAGGCACGGAGCCTCCACATGTTGGAGGACTATTGACCCCATCCAGCCTAGGGCCTGGGGGAAACTTGCGTGGGGAATTATTTGGAATTTTATTTATGTATTTTTTCGAATGTCCCCCCCAAACAACAAAAAAGACAAGTTTAGTTGTTCCTTGAATGTGTTGTGGGGGTCGGCCTCTGCTTTTTTGTGTGGACCCTTGGGGCAGGCCCCCTTCTAAAGAATTAAGAAGGCGGCCGCAGCTTTTTATGGTTGGGATTGTTCCTTAGATTGTGACTCAATTGGCCATCACAAACACGATTATTTTTCCCACAACCATGGCCAAAGCAGGGATGGTTCATAGGGAACTAAGTCGGGTGCAACATAAAATGCAATGATAAACACATTCCCCGCCTCTCAGTGCCTTCACAGTTAATGGCCCTAACACCCAACATCCAGAACAATGCCGTTCTTGCTGACTGTAGAGACCCCCCATCGACCATCGGCTTGTACAGTTGCCAGGCTTTGGGCACCACCCATTCACCAGCTTGCGGGATTATCCCTCGTTTGGCTCCATCATTCCCCCCTTCCCCCCCCCCCTCACACCACCCCACCCCGGCGAATTGATTCACGAAAATCATTATGTTTGCTTCCCCTTCGACAAGTTTTGCCTGCGCAAGCTAACATGGCGTGTGTTAGGGGGCATTCAAAGGATCTGCGAAGTTGAGATCGACAACTTACTTGTGGCTGTCTCCTTTGCAAGGTACCCTTGCTGGACTTTTTTGTCACGGAGCCCAAAAAATTCATTGTTTCCACTACTCCCAGCGGAAAATGCGAAACGACAAAATAAGCGGTTCTTTCCAACGGGGGTTCCCTTGGGGTGCCGAAGCCATCTTAAGGAACCCAAGTCTCCGCGGCCCGAAGCTTGGTTTTTGTGACATGGCTGGGATCCATCCGATCCATCCCACCCCTTCCCCGACTCTGCCTGGCGCACCTGCGAAGAGAAAGAGCCGCCGTGAAGCCATTCGGGCCAACCAACAGCTTAGAACAAGACACAAAAGTTCAAGAGCCAAAAAAAGAAACTGGCTGAAATCTGCTTGGCACACAAAACACACCAGACCATCCGCAAGCATGGAACTTGACTGGAGGGTGCTGCAAGATCAATTTTCTCGTTTGGTGTTACGGTGTTGGTCGACAGGAGGCGACCTCCCCTCACAAAAGAACAATAAGAGAAAGGACCACATGCGCGGCGGATGTATGGCCAATTTCTGGCCCTGACATGGGGAAAAAGGATAAAAGTACAGACACAAGTATGGTCCACTTGATCTACTAAAAGGCTTTTGCCCCTAGCAAAAACCACATGCTTGATGCAAATCCCAACTGTCCAAGCCTCTTTCTCGAGCTGGCCTTAAGAAAGGACCTTGGGTCGGTAGAAAGGGAGGCCAAATGTACAACTAAGCATGCGAGACCGATTCTAGCTTGAACAACCCCATGCGGCTATGCCGGTGAGTGTTTTTGTGGAGGGTATCTTGTTTGGTTAGTCAAAGGGGCACCAAATCGAAATCACCTGCGCCAGTGCAAATCATCATATCGGTCAAACTGCCCGCACTGTGCAGCTTTTCGTCTGGTTGCAGCCGTCTATTCAGTTTCCTTCATACAAACCTGGCGCGAAAGTAAATGGCACAATTCTACTTTGTGTGGGCAAGTAAAGGAGGTGACAACATGGGTTGGAATCGAATTCGCCATCCACTCTCACCCAATTATAATTTTGGTGGTCGCCTCATTTTGAGGCATCCCCACCACGGTTGGAACAATATGGATCAAAGGGTTTATCTCAGCTTCTGCTATGCAAGGGAATTCTCCCCCTTTATAAAATGCATGTGTATATACATATATATATATATATTTGTGTGCGTCAACCTGAAGAAGGGTTTCCCCGAGCGAGCGAGCGAGCGAGCGAGCCGGCAGCGAAGCGAGGAAGGAAGGAAGGAAGGAACCACGGAAGCAAGGAAGCAAGCAAGCAAACAAACAAACGGAAAAGCAACAACCAGATCTCACAACCCTGACATCACAGGGCACCCGCTTGACATGGGTTGATCAAAAGGGTCCTTTAACACGAGACGGGTCCTTTACACGAGACGACCCTTGGGGAAAACCAAAAAAATGCTCGGTCCCGAAGGGAATACCCTCCCCCAGACAAACATGAAAGCTCCAAGGACCCCTTTGGAAGACTTGGTTGCATTTACAGAGGCCATTTGGGGGCGCTTCGGGCTGTTAGTCTGAGGGAGTGTACTGATCAACCCCCACGCCCAAAGGGGAAAACCACAAAAATGATGATATGTGTCCCACCTGGGAAAAACGTCTTGTCATGTTTTCTTGCGGGGAAGACTGATCAACCCTCCCACGTCCCCAAGCACGTTGCTTCACTCACTTACATCGGACGGCCCCCCCCCTCTCGTGAGCACGGCCAGTCCCAAGCACGAATTTTGCGCCTCCTTCAGCAGCTGCACCAGGGGCTTCTCCGTCAGCACGTCCAGGTCCGCCCCCTCCGCCGCCAGGCCCAAGGCCCTGCTGCCGTGCACCAGGCACCCGGGGTCCAAGGCGCGCAGGGCGCCCAGCGCGCGCGCAGCCGCCGCCTGTGGGAGATGACCATGGGGCAAAACCCAAATCGTACCCCCAGTGAACATCCAATTCAATCCAACCACTAAAACTTGGCTGGAATTAGTTGACCCCAGGACATATATAAATATATACATATATATATATATATATTTGCATGGTTAGTGGAAAACAAAGGGAACCCCAAAAAAAGAAAAAACAGAAAACAAGGGGGGGAAGAAAAAACGGGGAAGTAATTCTGGGGAATCAGATAGGTTCTGACATGGGTGGTGAATTCACCTACCAACCAAAATGGGATCCCAAAACGGTTTTGACCCACGGCCAGATGAACTTGGCCCGACCAACGACCAAGGGAAACCGACCAGGGTCGCCCCAAAATCGGTGCTGATCTACCCAGCCAAAAGCTGAGTTGCTTAGGGGCTCAGGGATGGCTTTCCAGGCGGTCCTTGATGGCCAAAACACGCAGGTCCATGAACAAGAAAGGGGCCTCAAGAGATGGGCGGCTTCCTTTTGATGTCCCTTTGAACCAACCTTTGCAAGGGTAACCTCTACAAAACACCCTCAGCACACAGGGGTCACCGGATTTCCCCTTAAATCAGTCAGCTTCCCTCCTGGTGGTTTGGAGGTGTTCCGGGGATGGTTTCCATCTACGCTCACGAACCTCGGGTTCAAATTCCCAAGCCACAAATCCAAACCACAAAACAAGGCTTGCCTGAAACAGGTTTTATATTTATATAAAAACAAATGCTTGCACTTTCCGGGTGGTTCAAGGCGCGTTTGTTCTCATGGAATACCGCAATTCCCAGGGTCTGTTTTGATTGCTTGAGCTTCCGAACTACTTCGTCGCGCAACGCCAGCGGGGGCGGGGGCGGAAGCTCGCAGCCCCTCCCACCTGAAAAAATGCCGCCACCCGCCTCGTCATCTTCGCCCTCTCTCGGACCGTCGCTCTCGCTGTCCTCGCAGTCTCACTGCACCCAGAAACGTCGCGAGCGCCCAAACAGCCCGTCCTCGCTTTCGCTGTAGGCACTCAGGGCACCCAGGCCCTCCCGCCTCTGGCGCTTAAAGGCAGCCATCGCTTAACCGCGCAATGGAGGACTGGTCATGTCAACTGATGGTATGTGTTGGGTATCTCAGGTAGGTGTTTGAGCCTACCACGGCATGTTTTGCACGGAGTATGGTAGCCTCAAGTCGGACCCACCTCACTTTGGCAAGCGACAAAGGCTACGAACGCTGTTCTAGGGAAAAAAGACACAGTTCAGAAACCTGACAGGCTGTCAGGATGCACCGCTTCGCCGTCAGCGCTTCAAACCTGCTGGCCTGGGAAGCTTTGTCGCCTGGAGCCAAGCTCGGCATGAGGCGTACCAAGCGTGCTAAAGGGCCAATTCCGAAGACTTGCTCCTCCCCATTGCCCAAGGAACCGGGGGAAAAAACACATACTGCGGGGGCCCATTGAAAAAAATCCGAAGTCTGACTTGAAACCACCCATTTTGGGTAGGGTTGCCCCCTCGGACCTGGAGCAAAGCTTCAATTGGCTGGACCCCATCTGAAAGAATGCGGTCAACGGCCAGGCAAAGTACTGCGTTGAGATGGCCGGGTCGCACAGAACATGCGGCTCACCATTCCCATGTGCCACTTCAACCGCGCAAGAACGCGAGAGTTTCTGCAAAAACTGTTACCCCGCAAAATCTCTGACTGGCACCCTCCGGGAACCCGTCGACCCACAAAAAGGGCGATTCAGTATTGGGAAGCACCAGCTGGGTCTCTTTCACCCCCCCCCCAAAAAAAAAAAAAAAAACATAATTCCGTTTGGTTCACATCCAAAAGGGGACCACAAAGGCCCAAGCGCCCCGTGCGGCTCCCGCCTCCCGCCCTAGCTCTTTTAACGACCGGGCTTCGGCCTGTTGGCATCCCCGTGAAACTCGAGAGCCAAGCCCCTGGCTGCTGCCCCATGAGCCAAGCCCGGGGTTCCGGTTTTCTGCCCATGTTCAACTGTTTGTGGGTCCAATGGAAAACGCACTTCCCAAGAAGTTAAGTCCAAAGATCCAACCATAGCCGTAAACATTTGAACAAGTGTTCTCTTTTAAATTGACCCTCTGGAATTCCAAGTTCAGGAAGTGAACTGCCCATAGCGGAAAAACTTCTTGTCAATATAGATCCTCCGTTGGCTTGCTATGGAAACCACATCCGAGGCTGATTGCTCCAGGGCAATTCGGGCCCCTCTTCACCTTGCCTTGAAGGTGACTGGCATCTCACTTCCGGCTGCTTTTTTGGGCGACAAAATCTGAATGCTTGTCTCTGATGGCGCTGGGCGGTAAACAAAAGCCCATGCCCCGCGGCGCAAACGCGCCGCGATGAGCTGCTGGTGTTGATGGATGGATGGATGGATGGATGGATGGATGGATGGATGGATGGATGGATGGATGGATGGATGGATGGATGGATGGATGGATGGATGGATGGATGGATGGATGGATGGATGGATGGATGGATGGATGGATGGATGGATGGATGGATGGATGGATGGATGGATGGATGGATGGATGGATGGATGGATGGATGGATGGATGGATGGATGGATGGATGGATGGATGGATGGATGGATGGATGGATGGATGGATGGATGGATGGATGGACAGACGGACGGACGGACGGACGGACGGACGGATGGCTGGCTGGCTGGCTGGATGGATGGATGGCTGGCTGGGTGGGTGGGTGGGTGGATGGATGGATGGATGGGATGGAGGGACGGATGGATGGAGGGAGGGAGGGACGGAGGGAGGGAGGGATGGATGGATGGATGGATGGATGGAAGGACGGACGGAGGGATGGATGGATGGATGGAGGGACGGACGGACGGACGGATGGATGGACGGACGGACGGATGGATGGATGGATTGATGGAAGCCTGAACAACTCTGCAAATGAACATGGAAGTCAAAGAGGAGTTCCCAAATTGATTTGTTCCTCTAAACATCGTCTTGAGGATCCCATAGTGAGAATATGCCAGCAACCTGCTCGGCAAATTTTCCCGCATTCACCTTTGGCCAGGCCAAACTCCCGGCGAAGACTTGGAAAGCACACGGATGCCACTTGAGATACGGGAAGCGGCTACTGGTTGGCCATTTGGATATTCGAAGGCTTCACGAGTCCTCCAACTCATGAACTGAACAACTGAAAATGCCAAAGCTCCTTTTCCGTTTCCTCCAAGGGCTTCCCCTTTGACCAATGACCTTGCTTGGCTAAATGGGAACAGACCTTTGTCATGGGGTGTGGTGGTTTCTATCCGATATCCCTCATATTTCAACACGCGAGTCCCGATCACCATTTGTGGCCCGTGAGAGGAAGCAAACAACTCGTGGTGCCTTTCTCGAGGCACCACCCGCCTATGATTTCACGTGGAGTGCCAGGTGCTCGTCAGACACTGGGATCAGTACGCCTCGTACATGTTGCTAATCAAAAAACAAACGGGTATGAAATTTTAATAGGGGACCCTTTGGACATCATTTAAGTGGGGATTCATGTCCACCAACCACTTGTGAGGTGGATCTATCAAAATTTATGGCCATTTCACAAGTTTTGCGGTCTTTGCTGAAAGCCCACCCGCACGGGTTCCAAGCACTGAACACGCCAGCACAAACCCCCAGCTCCGCCCCAAGGTCTCAGCACCTCAGTGGCCTCAGTGGCGACTAGTCCAGGAACAGCACGGTGGTGATGAGGCCCCGATCTTTGGCCTCCTCCACGCACTTCAGCAGGGCCTTGGAGTTGTGGAAGCTGAAGACGATGATCTTCCTTAGGTTTTGGCACCTCCCCCCATCAAAACACGGAGGGGGGGAGGGGGAAACATCTGGCCATTTCTAAGGTGGCAATCCTCCCATGTTCCCACCCCACCCCCAAGCCAGCGGAAGACTCAGGCGATGTCCTTCCAGAGTTGGTTTCAACAGCCGGGTTCAAATCACACTGGCCCAAGTTGTCCACCTAGCCTCTCCAAGAACCAGGGGCTCATATAGCACGAAACCCCCCTAAACCCACCCATCCCATGGACCCGTTGAACGCACCGCGCGCGCGCGCTTCAGGCGAGCGAGGCGCTTCACCCGGTTCAGCACCCGCGCGTTACAGAGCTCCAGGGCCTCCGGTGGCGGCCTCAGGTGGCTGGCTCTTGGATTTGGATTTGAATCCCTGGTTCTGCGGAACCACGCCACAAGTTCCCAGGATTTCAATACCCCATACAAAGTGGGTAACCCAGAAATTGCCAAGGACTATGCACAAGGGCTCTGTACCTCCACCCCTAGGAGGAGAAAAAGAAGGAACAAAAACGAAGAAAAAAAAATCGGGGCTCCCCGATCGATTTTGAAAGGTTTTCATGTTTCGGCGCCGAGGCGCATGCTGTCGTTCTCGGGCGCCTCGATCACATTGGCTCCGGACTCCATGCAGGCATACAGCAGGGACTGGACATCCTCCTCCTGAAGGTCCGTTGCCAATCTTCAACAAGTCATGTCTTTGGAGATTGATCTCAAAGCAGCTTGGCAATATTCTTGCAGGTGAGCTTGGCAATCTTATCTTTGGTGTAAGCTTACATCCATTTTCTTGCAGCTTGTGCTCATTCAGGATTCCCTGGTTCAACATGTTCAAAGATGGCTGCAACCTCCGCATTCAGCAGGGATCCTTACACTATACACCTGAACATTGCCTTGTCAATGGCGGTGTCCCTGTATTATGGTGAAAAAAGCAACATGTTTCAAATGGTTGCAACATGTATCTTTTTTTCGGAGCCCTGTTCAGGTTTCCCCTTACCCTTCCGCCGCCCTTTCCAGAGGTTGCAGCCCCCCCAGCGGGAAAAAAAAAGCAGTTGCGGGACGGCCCGTTTGAGCAAACGAGGAGCTGATGCTTCCCTCCAAACCTTGCGGAACGGCTCAAAGAAGCCCGCCCAAAATGGGCCCAAAATCTTGCGTGACATTTTGAAAACACACCGCAGCTACGAAGATCTTCGGGCATTGGGCAGAGCCCTGGCTCGTGTTTCCTCATCAGCGTTTTCCTCAGAGACCAAAACCAAGGGCCCAGTTTACACAAAGGGCTCCATCGAATCGGCTGAAGGTGATCTTCCACATGGTCCCGCGGTGATGTTGACCCGGATTCATCAGCCCATCCTGCTAACAAGGGGGTGTCACCCACAAAAATGATCCGGGTTCTCACTCAAAAGTCGCAAACGGCACGGCAGCGGGCATGCCCACGCGACTCCGCCCAAGCATACACGCGCAACACATCCAACATCCAGCTCATTCGCGAATTGATCCTAATTCATTTGGATTTGTGGCTTCGAGGCAATGGCGGGATTTAGCTCCCCCTTTTGGTTTCAGAAGGAAGGGTTCCATCTGAAACCACCTAGTTTACATGTGGATCCAAAGCATTTGCTGGCAGAAATTTGTTCATCGTTTGTTCTCTTCGGGCCGGCTTGCAGCGGAGTGTTGACCACCTCAGCCTTTGTGCTTTCGCCCCCTTCGCCATCTGAGCCCGTCTAGCTGCGCGCTTCGGGCTTCTCCTTGGAGTTGCCGTCTTGCAAATCCCGCTTCAGGACGACCGCACAGACCATCCGTCCCTCTGGTAGTCGCAGAGGGAATTCTGGGATCAGACTCTGCCGGGATTCCACCTGCTCTCAGCTCTGTTGCTGTTTTGCATGCGCCCCGTCGTGCAGAAGGCACCGAAATATCTGAGGATGAGCATGACGACGATGCGAAGGAATTCTTGCACGAGATCTACCCCACCGACAACCAGAGGAGGACCTACAAGGAGGCCCGCAAGAAGCTGCTTCTTCAAGGGTGAGATTTTTTTTTGAGGAGCCGGCATCGCGATGCAGAAGGAGAAGGAGCAAAGGCAGGTGATGAAAGGTGGCGTAAAGAAGGGGCGTGGTATGGGGTAGTTCAAGTGTGTCAAGGCAATCCAAGGCGCCTTTCTACGTGTCGAGGAGGCCCTGGTTTTTCGTCTTGGACGCCAGAAGTCCGGCATTCTGCAACATGGCTTTCCCCCTTTCCTGCCAGCTGCGCCGGAGCAGAACCAGATCAATCAGGACAGCGGCTTCGCAGTGAAGACCTACACGGGCGACGTGGACTTGCGGTGTGCACGGCGCTCGCGCATGCCCCCGGAGACAAGTTGGTCAGTGCCACGGCATTCACATCGGTACGTCAGCACGTGGGCAACCTGCCGACGTCCGTGGAGGTGCAGGACATGGGTGTGGATTTGCCAGAGGGCACTTGTCCTGCAGTGCTCCCTTTTGTGCCAGGCATCGACTGACCCTAGGGCGCAACAGCTTTGGAAACGGAACCAAGCAGGCGTTCAATTGCACCTTTGTTTTGCCAGCACGGACATCAAGCGGACAAGGGCATGGAGCCAGTCGCGGAGGAGACAGAACAGGAGACTTGTGAAAAGGGCGGTGCAGTCGGGCGGCTGCTGGGCCCTAATCGGACCAGGAGAAGGCGGTGGAGCACCTGGCAGCGCCAGAGACGAGGCCTCGAGCAAATCTGCTGGCAGATCCATGACTCACAGCAAAGGAGGCTCACTCACTGGACGGAGGCGCACTCCAGGATTTTTTCCAAAGTGTCATTCTTGTGATTTGGATTGAAGGGTACCTGTTGCGGTTGATAAGGCTTGTTTTCCCTGTGCTGTAATCACATAATTCTTACACCTATCTGTTTAAAGTCACCTCTTGGCTGCTCCTGTGATTCTGTAGCCCTTGCAGGCCATGCATCACTGACCATGTGCATGCTTTGGTTCTTGTGCTTTTTGGGCCGGCTTGCAGTGAAGGGTCAAAAGCTACCTGCATCTTTGCGGTTCTCACAAGGGTTATAAGAAGTTATATCTACTTACCCTCCCACCAATCAACATAAAACCTGACAAAAATAAGGGGATCCTGGAAGACCGCTTTCCCTTTACCACTACCAAACTCCACGTTCATTAAGAGGGTACCTGGTACCTTGACCCTTGGTCCTTGGTATGAAACGGCTTGCGCGCATGCTTGCGCTCCTGCTTCTTGAAGCCTTGCGGGAGGATCACGGTAAGCAGCTTTGGCTTCTGCGCCCTGAGCGCCCCACGGATCACGCACTCGTTGGTGCCCTGGGACCCCGAGGTGACCACGTGATTCCTAACGGGACATAGGGACATAGGGACATAGGGAGGTGATTTTTGCTTCATGTCGGGTCCACCCCCCAAACATGGCGGTGGCTTTCCTTTCGGTCTCCCTTTGAAGCAACCTTCAATCAGCCTTATCCTTGCTTGGTGGTTTCGATTGGCGGGTTTGAAGGTGTTTCGGGGTTGTTTCGGAAAAAACTCCAAACTGACCCCCCCCCCGGCCAAAACACAAAAAGCGCCCAAAGTCAGGTGCCCAAGCCTGAAAACAATCATGGCTAAGGGAAACAACCCTTTCTGCCACACCGAAGGGCCATCCTCATGCCGGCTTTGCCCACTTTTGATGAAGTCCCTTCGGCATCACAGACACTGCCCCAAAAAAACAAACTACCCGCAACCATGGACAAATACTCGTCCAAAAAAAAAAACACTTTTTGGAATCCTTTACAGTCAGGCGCTTAGTGATTTAAGCCGTGGGTGACAAAAGGTCCCCTGAAAGACACGGCTAAGAAAACCGTGTCCCAAGAAAACCGCCCAAAAAGATTAGCAGGATCTCCTAGGGAGGACCAACCTTTTTGGCTTCCGTATTTGCACTGCAAAACAGAGCTCCGTATATCTCCCCTTGAGCCTCACAAACCAAGAGGAAACTCATCTAAAAGTGGCCCCAAAGGTGATGTTTTAAACCCCAAAAGGTGGAAATCTGGTGCCCCTCACAAAAAGGGGAGGGCCCAAAGCCCGCTTGTCATGCAGATTTGCGCGGAGGGGGCCCGCCTCACACGGGGAACCCTGCGATGACGGAAAGCGCTTCTTTGGACCACAGGGCGGGGGGGGAGCCGGGGGCGGGGGGCTGGTTTGCAGAATTTCGCGCCAAAAAGACGCTAAAATTTGGGAACTGCTCGCTCGCTGCATTTTTGTGCAAAAACCTGCGTTTTACCATGCTTTTGCGAGGTGCTTTCTGCGTCGAGCTGGCTCGTTTTGCGTGGCAATGTTTGCTTTTTATTTCTCCGCTTCTCCTTGCTTGCTCACTGCTTGCGTGTTTCGCGCTTGGACCTGCCTCGGGGATGCTGGGAATGCTGGGGCGGCTCAGCCAGTACGCGGGATGCTGGGGATGCCGGGGATGCTGGGGATGCTGATGCTTGGGCTTCATCTTTTGTTCGAGGAGCCTGCTCCTTTGCACTGATTCGATCTGTTTCCTGGCGTGTCCACGAATCCTTTTCTCGTGTGAGCAATGGATTCAAAAAGACAACTAAATTCTACGCGCCTTTTTTGGATGCTTTTGGAGCTCGGCGTTCACTGGCTATCGCTTTCGGTCTGCGGGCGCTCGCTTCTTCAGTAGGTTCGTGCTTTCCATTCGTTACCTACAAACAAGAGGCTATTGAAAGCACTGGGCGAGGCAATCACCTTTTTGGAACACCATGGAATGCCCGTACACACTGATTGCATTATTGCATCCGTGCAAGCTCTGTGCGTCGCAGAGAGCCCCCCAGTCATTGCTTATATATGCGGGCAATTTTCAGTCGGGCAGTTTTCAATTGGGCCTTCCTCTTGGGTTCCATGTCAATTTGTGGGGAGTTAGCTTGTGGGCATTTGGAGAAAGGCTGCGTTGCCCAATAACTAGCTGTTCCATTCTAACCGACTGGAGTCGGGACAAGAATAAAAGGGCCGGGCGGTCCGATGATGGTTCCTTGTCGACCAAAAAAGACGCTATTTCTTAGCAGTTCTTTTTCCCCTCAATTCAGACTTGCGCCAATGGGGACTCGGCAGGACCGGGACAGAGGGAGTGCGCTTGTTTGCCGACCTGGCTTGCAGGGGTTTAAGGAGAAACACAAAGATTTGGCCCATACCCCAAAGGTGGAAATACATGGAACCCTGCAATTTGCCGGGGTTTAAGGGGAAAACACACACAACGAAAAAGGCCCCTCCCCGGCCCCCGGTCCCGCTCAGCGCGAGGGCGTAGCTCAAGAGCTCGATCACCGGCTGGTGCAGGTAGGGCACGGAGCGCGTGCCCAGCACCGCCACGGTGCTTGGACCCCCCTGTGTCATCTCCTGATGGATCCTACTGTGGTAGGGCTGTGGGGAATGACCACTTCTGGGATACAGCAGACTTTGGGCTTCCCAAAGACTAGTTTGTTCATATAAAGGGGGATTCCCTTGTATCACAGAAGTGGGAAGAAACCCCTTGATCCCACAACCCTGTACTGTGGTAGGGTGGGATGATTTTGGGACATGGGCTAGACCTTACCTTTCATGCCATTTGGCCAGGGCTGGCCTTGGGCACTTCCCATACTGTGGATGGTTGCGAATTCCGTTATTTGCACACCAATTTGAAACTATGGGAAACCAGAACGTTCGTTGGTATTTACAGGGGGTCATCATGCCAGGGTTTCTTAGGTGGTGCAGCAGTTCGTCCATCCACAGTAGGTCGGTCAAGGGCCCCCCACTTGTCAAATGCCACATCTTCAAAGAACACCAGTTTTGAGAAGTGCCCTTTCGTGGGCTGTTGCAAAGTTCAAGCTGGTGGCTGTGAACGTTTTGGAGTAGAGATTTGATTGCGCCAGTCATTGAAGGAGAGCTTAGTTGAAACCTGCATTGCGACGAGTGCTGAAAGTTGTTGATCAACATATGGTTATCGGTCAAAATTAGACCACCAGTGGACCGCAAATTACCGATGTCAACGCCTAGGCTGTCCGCTGTTGGGACCTTAACCACGGATTTGAGTGAGAATTGTTCGTCAAACATTGGGATGCCCTTTGTGGGCCAAAACAAACCTTTCTCATGCTTTGTGAGGTCATCTCCCTGTGAAATACGCTCGGATGTGAAAAACAACATCGTTACAACTACCGTTGGAACACCCAGCCAGGTAAGTGTCTCCTAATGGTGTTCCTGTGTTGTTTCTCTTTAGCCCCCGAGAAGGGTACCCTGCAAGGGAACCCATCAAATGAGGGACCTAAGGACCCTAAGGGTTCTAAGAAATGGAGCCTTTGGGAAGATCCGGACTTATGCCAGACTGTGGCAACGCCAATGTTCGTGCCAACCGAAAGCACGAGCCGATTTCTGAAAGGTCAGACTCTTTCCAATCTTGAAAGTACGCCCCCGCCCCCCGCACCGTCAGCTTCCATGGTTTGAGGTGCCAAAGGGCAACCCGAAGCATCATCTCGATTTGATTGTGTCTGTCGCGAGATCTGTTGTTTTTATGTTTTATGAATCCTTCCCTAAGTAAGTCGGTAAATTTCCGACCTGCGAAAACAAATCTACAAGTGTCTATGTCGGAAATCAGTCCAGCTTCGAGTAGAGACAGCGTGAACGGATGGCGCTTCACATTCATGCTGGCACAAACTGAACCTCAAGTACAACTCTGTCTCAACTCTGACCTCGGGGCGACCAAATTCGTCTCAAACCTAGCCCCTCCGCACCCGTGATGCACCACCAGTCCCCCTTACTTACGCAAAACTCCCCCTGTCGCTCGCGCTGGCTCCTTGAACTGCTCCGACATGGCGTCGTCCCCGAAGCCCCGCCCGCGCCGCGGCGCGCGCGGCGCGCGCCTCGGCCGCGCCGTCGGCTTCGTCGGCGCCCGGAGGAGCAGCGCCAGCGCCCAGGCGCCCTCCCGGCGAGCGCCGGGAGAGGCGGCCTGGACGGCGCGGGCCTCGCGCGGCGCAGGCGCCCAAGAGCCTCGGCCTGGCAGAGGGCGAACGGGGGCCGAAAAAAACCCCACGAGACTCAGGTTGAGACTGGGACCAAAAACATGGAGGCGAACGGAGCTAGCGCCAAGTGGACGCCAACATGGGACTGGAGGAAGGGCTGGGCAAAGAGAATCAGCTCCCCCCCGCTGCAAGCGTCAAACCAAGGTTTGCCTATGCAGTTTTCCCATGTTTTCCCGTTCAAAAGGCCAATTGACAAGCATCCTTCTACAACAGTGCCCCGCTCTCACATGAAAGGCTCATTCCACTTGGGCATCGCTGCCGCTTTCGCTCTGCGCTCGTTGGCCTCCAGCTGGAGCCATCATCGAGCCCAAATCAGCACGACATGGGACTCCCGTGCAAAAAGTTGCGCTGGAAGGGAGAGCTGTCTGCAGCAAATTGAAACATCGAAAGGCCTATTCAAAGCAGACGATCAAATTAGCCGGCGTAGTGGGGCATGCCCAGCCAATGAATTTGGTTGACTCTTGTTTTCCCAGCGTTTTTGGTTGATCGAAAGTTTGTTTGAAGGGAGGGGGTGCCTGCAGTGTGGATGGTGGAGCGGGTTCTCTGCTTGGCAAGCGGCTTCCACCCCAAGTTTCTCCGATGATAAGCATGTGGACATGTGCATGGAGAATCACCTCTTTCCCGAGCCAAATGGGGCTGCATTCCATGGACGCTGCGCAGGTGCATCATGGGCAGCTGCCCGTCGGGTATCTTGCTTAAGGTTGGACCCACTCAACCTGGGGTGTCCTTTTGGCTTCCTATTGGAAAAAGCCACCGAAGGGGGCACCAACTCCCAAAAAGACGGCCCAGCCGAGACACATTTTCCATCTCGCCCGCCCCTCTAAAGGCGCCAGCCGCACTCCTCGCAAAGAGTCCAATGCAGCAGGTTTGGTGGGGGGGGGGGGGGGGGGGGGGGCGCAACCTAAAATCACATCCCAAAAGAAAACATGGAACCTGAAAGAGGGCCATGCTACATAGAACAATTCATCCAGAGGGCCCCTAATGTCAGGTTCCATGTGGGTCATTTCCCGTCGGGAAAACATGTCAGTCAGGTCATGTGCACATGAGATTCATCCACACTTCCAATCCCCGTCTTCCCGCGGGCGTGTGAATCAACCGCTTGGCTTTTTCTTCTCCGACGCTTCCAGCCTGGCTTAGCCCCCGTCAAGAGGCCAGGGAGCTACAGTCTCTGCAAAAGGGTGCAAAAGGGAACCAAACATGGCAGTGCAGGTTTTGCGAAACCATCCATTTCGGCAGGCCGCAAAGGCGAGGGCGGGACGGCCTCTGGTTGTCAGGCGACGTCCCAAAACCGCCCCGCCAAGGACGCGGCGTTCTCAGCCCGCAAGCCGTGAAATGTCGCCTCAACTTCAAAAAGTAGGTGCAAGGAAATGGCCTCTGATCCAAAGATGCAAGGCCGACTACAGCTTAAGGAGCTTTTTTCTCCCCTTTGACTCTCCTGGAGCCCAAGGTGCTCAAAGTGGCCACGTGCTTCCGCTGCCCTCAGACTTTGTGTCGTCGCCGGCAATGGTAGTGGCAATGTCGGGGCCAACCATGCCCAGGTCAATGTCGTCGGGCTCCTCCTCCTAAGTGGCAGGCATCAAGAACAAAACCAGATGGATGTAGGGACGTTTGGGCTCACGCGTCTGGTTGTTTTCCTCCGGCGCCCCCCGAGCTTCAGCCAGACCGGGCCTTCTTGGCGCCCTTGGAGCACTTACGCTTCATGAGGTTCACCAAGCCCGTGACCACCTGCACAATAGCCTCGCCCAGGACGAGGCCCAGAGCCAAAGAGATCGAGGTGACCTGGGCCAGTGGTGTGTGGCTGTGGCTCAAATAACCCAAAGTAGCATCTTACATGGAACAGACTGGGACCTGCATAACCCCAGCTGTTTAGTCTTGAGCCACACCCGTATCACAAAACACGTGCCTGAAGATGCCCGCGCCAGGGGTGGTGTCCCATTCACACCGGATCAGGAGTTCAAGCAAGCCACAAATTCCGAGAAACTTGAGCCTCAGGGCCGAAGCAAACAACTGGTTGCAGTTTGCAGAAGCTTTGAAAGTGGGCCCGACGGGCCCGAGTGAAAGGACATTGGCCCCTTCTTGGGCCACATTACGATTGCGGAAGCTGGTTGAAATGGCCCCCTTGGTGGGCCGTGCTACCAAATGCATGGACATTTGCAGAAAGAAGTCCACGATCGAAACGGTGGAAGGGGAGGGGTTGCCAGTTACCCTCTGCAAAAGCCTGGGGCGGATTATCCCCCAAACCACCAATTGAGGGATACCTGAATCTTCCAAAAGGCCTTCCCCCCCCCTCAAAAAATAAAAGAAAAAGAGAAGAACACGGTGCGCTGGGTTGATCTCAAAGCGAGCGGCCATGAGCCCGGCAAAGGTGTTCTCCGCCAGCGAAGGGTCGCTCGGCGGGATGATGGTCTCGAACCACATCTTGGCGATCATCGACCCTGGCACCAGCTGATACACTGCTGGCATGAGCCTTGGATCGATCCGGATCGACCTTTTGTGGCCCTGAGGGAAAAAGAACTAGCAGATGCTAAGGCGAGTCTAGCGCCTTGCCGTTCAAGGCGAGTTAAAAGTTGCAAAAGACAGGAAATCCATGGCAGTCCCAGAGTGAGGGGGCCTCAGGGCCAAGGAGCATGGCCCAAATGTTCATGGACTCGGCATAGACCACGGTGTCCAGCAAGAGGTCCTCTTCTTCAGGACCCAGCTTGATCTCGGTGCGGGGATTTGCCGGGTCCTTCCAGGGAGTGAACGATTGGACATGTGTTGCTTTTAGGTGTTCCTTTCTGGCGTTGAAGGGAAACCAAAAGGGAAACCCTTCATTTGGGGGGCTTCCTTTCTCAGTATCCTTCCCCCCCGCCTCCCTGCAAGGCTGGCTTCAGCGAAAGAAGCGGCTTTGCTTTGAGGGAGGCCCTGACATGAAAATGTTGGCCTGGGATCTAAGCAGAATCTGCAAAAAGTGGCCTGACCCCCCCCACAAAAAGAAAGACACCCCCCCCCCCCTGTCAGAATCTGGGGTTGGTGTTCATCGAGCATCTCCGAAGTTGCCGGCAAAACTGCCTGTTGCATTTTGTATTGCTAGGCTGCCGAGCTCGACAGCTTAACTTCATTCCTTTAGGTGTCATAACAATTTGAATGTAGAACATATGGTATGATTGATTAGAGAACCCATCATAATGATAATAACAATGACAATATTATAATTATATATATATATATATTAAAACTTATGGAGAAAAAAGGGGGGGGGGGGGAAACGACGACGAGCTGGCTCCTTCAGCTCTTTGGTTTGCTGGTAGATCTTCTTCTCCAGCTCCACCATATGCTTGTCGTGTGCCCTTCCGATGCCCAGGCAGTTGAAGCACTTCACCACCGACGAGATGCAGCCATACCTTGCCGAAAAGAGTCTATTTTGCAACCATGAACCCTAAAAAACCAATACCCAACAAGAAGGAGCTTGCAAAATAGACCCTATGTGTCCACCATGCGGGGGGGAAAACGCAACTTCACCTTTGAGGCGACAGGTGAAAAAATTACCAATGCCCCATCTTGATTCAAGTAGAACCAGCAAGCAAATGCTCAACTTGCGGGGTGTGCCTGGGGCAAACTAACTTATTCACAAAACAAAGGATAACAATCTCCAGGAACCCTCATCTAGGTCAGCTCGGCTGGCCCCTGCATGAGCTCTGCTTTCTTCTTTTGCCCGGGCATTCCATCATTCCATCGACTGTTTTTGGACCCGAGGTACAAGATGTCATCCAGCATGGAGTCCGTCTCGTCCCGGTGCGCCCCCCGCTGCAGCAGCTGGGCGTAGTAGATGCCGTTCACAAAGTCCATGAAGGCCGACAGCAGGCACGCCGTCACCACGCTGGCCGCAGCCCCGCAGACGTTGGAGGCCATGACGTCCAGGTTATCCTTGACCTGGGCTAAAAAAAGGACCCCGGCAAAAACAGATATATATATATATATATATTGTTTTGCCTGGTTCGTGGAAAACAAAAAGGGAACCCCAAAAACGGGGGGAAAAATGTTCTTTTTGTGGAAATAGACCACCCAAAAAGCCGAAACACATATTGCAAAAAATCCTGGGTTACAAGGAACCCCCAAAAAGGGCACCCCAAAAAAGCAAAAAGGGAAGAAACAAAAAGGAAGCTACTTCTGGGGAAGTGACCAGGGACCCGCTGCGGTTGCGGAAGGCCTGGGACACCTGGCAAAAAAAGCAAAAAACAAAAAACGCAGATCCGAACCGGCCAACCGGGCGGTCAAACGTCCACTTAAAAAGGGAAAAAGGCGAAAGGGCACAACCTGAAGCCATTCGAATCCAAATCAAAACCTAGGGCCGTCCGAAAAGAAAACGCGGAAGGCACAACTGAAGACATCTGAATCAAAAAGAGAAAAACAACTAGGGCCTAGCCTTTTTCCAAGCTGATTGAATCAGGGCAGATTCCCGCAGCTAGTTCTGTCGACTAAGCCTTGCCAGCCCTCTACCCAGGCTTTTGAGGAGCTCTCGCCAGGTCTTAAACCCCTATGTTCACACCCGCCGCCAAACCCTTGCCATTCTTTTCATGTGGGCCACTGGATGTCCCCAAATCAAAGGTCGCAACTTACTGGTGGTTTTTCCATGGACACAACCTGCCTCTTTTAACGAGGCATCCCACTAAGAGCTCCTGGCAGCGGCTTTTTGCGGGGCAATAAAAAACCCCTCTCTCAGCTTCAGAGGGGGGAAAAAAAAACAACCAAAAAAAGAAACGACTCTCCCACTTCACCCTCTCCGCTTCAGTTCAGCAAAAAAAGCCGCGGCCCTCCCTCCGCTTCCGAGAAAGAAAAAAAAAGACCTCCCCGCGCCTGGAACTGGGTCTCGTAGCCCGCGAGCTGCACCAGAAGGCCCCGCCAGAACTGCTCCAGGCGGAAGCGGTACTGCCCCAGGACGGAAAACCTCGGTTTTCCAAGGCGCACAAAAAACCAACGGGTGGAATGTTGACCCCCGAGGCCAAAAAAAAACAAACACCTGTTTGTTCATATGGGGCTGCAACTTCTCCCCGGTTTTAGTGGGGGTTTAATTATCACTTTTGGAGGGGAACACCCCCATATTAATAAACAGTGGTTTCTATGGGTCATCGGTCAACGTTTTTTTTTTGCGTGAAAACCTCAAAATGGCCGCCTCCGGTAAGCCAATCTGGCGGGTCAAAAACAGGCAGCCAAAATGGGTTGCCCTGGTGAATGGAACGGACCAAAACCTGCAGGTCCCCTGGTGGCTTGATTTTGACCCATACCCACATGGGTGTATCTTCCTTTGTGGGTACCCCGTTTTTTGTTTCTCCCCTTTTTTTCACGAAAGGGAAACCAAAAAAAAAAGAAGAGAACTCTGTTCGGGGAACCACGATCAAGCCGCCGTCTAAGTGCACCTTTTCCGGGGGCTACCTCTTTTTTTTCCAAAGGGAAACGACAAAGAAACAAACTCGTTGCGCCATGAGTGTTCGGGGGGTCGGGCCCCTCCCCCACCCCCCCTCCCAAAAAAAACAAAGAAACAAGTGAGAGACACCCACATCTGAAGCGCCAGTGAGAAGCGAGCAGGCCAAGTACAAGGGGACACGCCACCACTGCGCGCCCAAGTCGATGGTGCCGCAGTTCGCATATTGCGCCTCCCAGGCCTGCAGCGAAGAGGCGCGTGAAGTTTTCTTTTGGATCCACCCACCCCCCACCCCACCCCCCCCCCCCCCGCCGCGGGCCGGCATTTGTGGCATTAGGGGAAAACAGAAAGTGTTGGAGGCAGCTGTTTCGCATCCTTCTCGTGACCAAAGGCTCTTGGGTACCCTGGCAGAAAAGCTTCTTGCGGTTTTTGGGACTGACCAAAAGACGTGCGTGGCTTGTTGTTTCTTAAGGGGGCCGCTGCAGGGTTGCTTCGGCTTTCCGTTTGGTTTCCCTTCGGCAGCTAACCAAAAAGAGTGCCCTCGAGATAAGACACGGAAGAAGAAGATGCCGATGCTGAAAATGGGTGGGTTGGGTTTCAGGTTGAACTGTAGGGGAGGTAGCCGTCTCCATGACCCGACTCTAACATGGAATTCCCAAAAGAAAGAGGCCATGGAAATCCCAACGTTTGAAGGGTCAGAAGGAGACTATGGGTACCCCTTTCAATTCAAAATCAAAAGGAAGACCAGAATTGTTTGCAAGAAAAAAGAACACCACGGGAATTTCTCCACCTGCTTCTGACCCCCGACTCTCGGCACTCCCGGCACTCCCGGCCGTGGCGGGATTCGGCAGGGCAAGCAGCATACCGAAGCAGGTCATGACACCTCGGGCCCAGAGATCAGCTTCTTGACTACTACTCCAAACTATTGAGGGCGGAAATCAAAACAGCAAAAAGCGAGGCCCCTCAAGTTGGGAATCAATCTTCCGCGACTTTGGTGCCGGGAGGATATGGAAGGTTGGTTGGGACTCCGTTTTCTTTTTGGAGGCCGCGAGCGACCTCGGAGCTCAAGGCCAACTTTGAGGCTCAAAGATTGGTTTGCAGTTGTACCAAAAGCCCACGAGAAACCAAGAGGAGCACCATCATTTTGGGAGGCGCTTATTTTGGGTTGTTCAAAGGTAACAGAAGGCTAAAGGGAAGCCAGAAGCCGCACCATCATTGTTGGGATTCGGCATTCCCCTTCAGACAAACGGCACCAAAAAACCTGGAAGCTCAGATATTGGTTCCCAAAGCTTTGCGACGAAACCCACGTTTCAACAAAGGGAAAACCCAATATTGGCGGCTTCTTTCTGTATTAAATCCGCCCACATTGCTCGTCGTGTCGGATACTTACTAGAGATAGAGGATAAACCCCCGTTTCAACAAAGGGAAAACCCAATATTGGCGGCTTCTTTCTGTATTAAATCCGCCCACATTGCTCGTCGTGTCGGATACTTACTAGAGGATAGAGGATAACCCCCCCCCCTCACCCCCCTCCTAACCCCCCCTAACCCCCCCCCGCCCGACGTCTATTACGTCGGTTTTTTGGGGGGGGGGGGGGTCCCCCCACGTAGGCGGCAATTTGATGACGTTCCACTAAACGTAGTCTTCGGGGACCCGGTGTCGCAAAACAGGGGTCCCAGGCTCGATTCCCCCTGCCGGCTTTTTGCTGGCTTGGGCTTCCTGCATCCTTTTGCCGAAAATCTGGAAAAACTCTGTGTTTTTGGACATCATCTTTGCGAAAACGCTGGAAAAACAGTGTTTTTTTGCGGGAAATACTACCTACCTACATACATACATACATACATACATACATACATACATACATACATACATACACATTACATTACATTACATTACATTACATTACATTACATTACATTACATTACATTACATTACATTACATTACATTACATTACATTACATTACATTACATTACATTACTTACATACATACATACATACATTACATACATACATACATACATACATACATACATACATACATACATACATACATACATACATACATACATTACATACATACATACATACATACATACATACATTACATACATACATACATAATACATACATACATACATACATACATACATACATACATACATACATACATACATACATACATACATACATACATACATTACATACATACATACATAACATACATACATACATACATACATACATACATACATACATACATACATACATACATACATACATACATACATACATAACATAAATACATACATACATACATACATACATACATACATACATACATACATACATACATACATACATACATACATACATACATACATACATACATACATACATACATACATACATACATACATACATACATTACATACATACATACATACATACATTACTTACATTACATTACTTACATTACATTACATTACATTACATTACATTACATTACATTACATTACATTACATTACATTACAATACAATACATTACATTACATTACATTACATTACATTACATTACATTACATTACATTACATTACATTACATTACATTACATTACATTACATTACATTACATTACATTACATTACATTACATTACATTACTTTACATTACATTACATTACATTACATTACATTACATTACATTACATTACATTACATTACATTACATTACATTACATTACATTACATTACATTACATTACATTACATTACATTACATTACATTACATTACATTACATTACATTTACATTACATTTACATTACATTACATACATTACATTACATTACATTACATTACATTACATTACATTACATTACATTACATTACATTACATTACATTACATTACATTACATTACATTACATTACATTACATTACATTACATTACATTACATTACATTACATTACATTACATTACATACATACATTACATTACATTACATACATACATACTTACTTACGTACTTACTTACTTACTTACTTGCTTACATACATACATACATACATACATACATACATACATACATACATACATACATACATGCATGCATACATACATACTTATGTACATGCATGCATACATACGAGAGAGGGAGATTGGGGAGAGAGAGGCTTGGGGGGATGGGGAGGATGGGAGCCGAGAGAGGGAGAGAGGACGACAGAACACACAAGGGAGACAAGGAAGAGAGGAAGAAGGAGAAAAGGGAGAGGACAATGTCGGCGGACTGAGCCGGAGGCTCTAAAGTTTCATAGTACTTATTTAGATTTCATGATTCGGGAAAACTGCATTGAAGCAAATTGGGGCGCTCCTCATGAACATGAAAAATATGATTAGAAAAAAACACGCTAAAGGACTCTAAAGAACAGAATCAGGGCTGTGGGAAACGACCACTTCTCTGATACAACAAAAAGGGCTTCCCAAAGACTAACCCCCCATATAAAGGGGGAGATTCCCTTGTATCAAGGAAAAACCCCGAGTGATCCACCACAACCCTGATAACAGAATACTTTTTGCCAAGCCCAAGGCGCAGAGCACGAAGGTCTTGATACTCACCGCCATGAAGCGGGTCACCCCCGTCTCCAGCTCCCCGGCCAAGATCTCCACCAGGCCCACCACGAAGGCGGTGCCGTAGAAGAACCAGTACAAGGTGCCCATGAAAATGGAGAGCAAGCCTCACCAGAGGAAGGGGTCAGAAAAGGTCATCCCGATTTTGGGGTGACGTTGGCCTACGCAAAGGAAAGGCCCAAAGAAAAATTGCCCGACCCACCGGAGAGTTCATCACGATTTTAGGGGTAGACAGCTAACTTTTTGCTGGTTAAAAAGGAATATGAGTGGAATCCAAAAAGTTGAAGTCTAAAGATCCAACCCAATAGCAGTAGAGAAAGCACCAAAGGAAAGGCCCAGAAAAATTGTCTGACCCACCGGATGTTTGGTTGATGACGTTGGGGAAGCCTCTCTCTCTCTCGCTCGCGCGTGCTATCTCGGTCCCAAAACCATGGGAGCACCCTTGGACACTCAGAGAAACTTATGAACCCACAATGTCTTGTTTGAGGCTCAAAAGCCCGTTTCGGGGCTAAGTTGAACATGGGAGGGGGGAACTCATTTAGGGATTGCTTTGAAAGACAGGAAAGCCGGATATTTTTCCTCGGGACCCTGCAAATTTCAGACGGATGGATTGACATCGCCACATGTTCTAGGAAATAAGGTCAAATCTCCAAGAGCAGCCGAGAAACAATACCTCTCCCCGTCAAAGTGATAGAACAGGCTGCCGACGATGCCGGTGAGGAGGCCCACGCCCAAGTCGATCAACAGAGTGGCTTCACCCCCGACCCTTTGCAGGCCATACTCCAGCAGACCTGTGAGCACACCCAAGATGGCGGCCACACCCGCCTCCTTCTCCTTGGTGCTTTTTGGCCCCCTCCCCCCCCAAAAAAAAAGAAGAGGGAAAAGCAAAACGGCCAAGACGGGGGCTGAACAATTTCGCAGCCCTTCAAGAAACCAGACGTGCCCTCGAAGGCAAACGACTCCAAAAGCAACAGGTGAAAGCGGCGGGGGGATCACTTTGGTCGCAGTTTTTGGATCACTTTGGTCGCAGCTGAAATCCACTCACTTTGGTCGTAGTTTGAGCATTTGCGGATCACTTCTGTCGCAATTTTTGGATCACTTCAGACGCAATGGAAGATAGCTTTTTGACCACTAACAACAGGACACACGCAAAGGGTGTTGCCTCTCAAACACCTGACAACAAGACATGCCGCGTGGGGTGGGGTCGACAAGGATGTTGCCTCTCAAACACCTAACAACAAGACATGCCGGGTGGGGTGGGGTCGACAAGGATGTTGCCTCCCAAACACCTAACAACAAGACATGCCGGGTGGGGTGGGGTCGACAAGGATGGTGCCTCTCAAACACCTAACAACAAGACATGCCGGGCGGGGTGGGGTCGACAAGGATGTTGCCTCTCAAACACCTAACAACAAGACATGCCGGGCGGGGTGGGGTCGACAAGGATGTTGCCTCTCAAACACCTAACAACAAGACATGCCGGGCGGGGTCGACAAGGAGACATGGGGATGGGACATGGGGTCGACAAGGATGTTGCCTCTCAAAAAAACCTAACAACAAGACATGCCGGGTGGGGTGGGGTCGACAAGGATGTTGCCTCTCAAACACCTAACAACAAGACATGCCGGGTGGGGTGGGGTCGACAAGGATGTTGCCTCGCAAACACCTAACAACAAGACATGCCGGGTGGGGTGGGGTCGACAAGGATGTTGCCTCTCAAACACCTAGCAACAAGACATGCCGGGTGGCGTGGGGTCGACAAGGATGTTGCCTCGCAAACACCTAACAACAAGACATGCCGGGCGGGGTGGGGTCGACAAGGATGTTGCCTCTCAAACACCTGACAACAAGACATGCCGGGCGGGGTGGGGTCGACAAGGATGTTGCCTCTCAAAAACCTAACAACAGGGTAGCCCGCCAATCGGATACGGGGAGCCCGTCAATCGCAAACTGTCCCGTCCCGCCAATCACGGACTGCCAACCCGCCAATCGCGCACTGCCAAGCCCGCCAATCGCATCCCAACACCCGCCAGTGAAATCGAACCTCGAGCACTTGGTCAGGGGTTGAATTTGATGTTAGTCGACTTTGGTCGAGCGCAGTGGTTCGTGGCCCAATTTAGTCGGATTGGGCAAGTCTCCACTGGAAAATTCTTGACAGTCATTTGGTGGAATTTGGTCGAAATTGGTAGAATTTGGTCGAATTTGGTCAAGTTTGGTCGGGTGTGGTGTTCGGTCGAGTTTGGTCGAATTTGGTTGATTTGGGTCGAAATTGGTCGAATTTGGTCGCACGGGGTGGAGCGCTGTCAATTTTAATTGACTTCGAATTGAGTTTGGTCTTTTTTGGTCGAGCGCAGTGGTCCAATTTGGTCGGATTGGGCAATCCATCGCCAGACTGAATTCAACTGAATTCAACCGGAAAATTCTTGAAATTTTCCAGTCACATTCTCTAGGCTGAATTTGGACAAATTTGGCCGGGTTTGGTCGAGTTTGGTTGGGTGTGGTCGAGTTTGGTCGAATTTGGTCGAATTTGGTCGAGTGTGGTCGAATTTGGTCGAAATTGGTCGAGTTTGGTCCAATTTGGTCGAATTTGGTCGAAATCGGTCGTGTTTGGTGGATTTTGGTCGAAATTGGTCGAAATTGGTCGAATTTGGTCGAGTTCGGTCGGGTGTGGTCGAGTTTGGTCGAATTTGGTCGATTTTGGTCGAGTTTGGCGGAATTTGGTCGAAATAGGTCGAATTTGGTCGAATTTGGTCGAGTTCGGTCGGGTGTGGTCGAGTTTGGTCGAATTTGGTCGATTTTGGTCGAATGTGGACCTTGGTCGGATTGGGCAATCCATCGCCAGACTGAATTCAACCGGAAAATTCTTGAAATTTTCCAGTGCGATTCTCCAGGCTGAATTTGGTCAAATTTGGCCGGGTTTGGTCGAGTTTGGTTGGGTGTGGTCGAGTTTGGTCGAGTTTGGTGGAGTTTGTGGAGTTTGGTCGAATTTGTCCGACTTTGGTCGAGTTTGGTCGATGTTGGTCGAATTTGGTCGAGTTTGGTCGAAATTTGGTTGAAATTTGGTCGATTTTGGTCGAAGTCGGTCGAATTTGGTCGCGCGCTGTCTACTATAATTGACTTCGAGTTGAGTTTGGTCGACTTTGGTCGAGCGCATTGGTCCAAGTTTGTCGGATTGGGCAGTCCATCGCCAGACTGAATTCAGCCGGAAAATTCTTGAATTTTTCCGGTTGAATTGTCCAGGCTGAATTTGGTCAAATTTGGTCGGGTTTGGTCCAGTTTGGTCGAATGTGGTCGATTTTGGTCGAGTTTGGTCGAGTTTGGTTTGGTCGAGTTTAGTTGGATTTTGCTTGAGTTTGGCCGAATTTGTTCGAGTTTGGTCGAGTTTTGTCGATTTTGGTTGAGTTTGGTCGAATTCAGCCGGTCGATTTTGGACGATCTTGAGGATTTCGGACGATTTTGGTCGACTTTGTTTTTTGTAGTCCAAGTCTAGCACGCGAAGCACACTTCCGCAGCTTTAGCTCGAAAATCGCAACTTTATAGTACAAGTCTAGTACGCGAGGTACACTTCCGCAGCTCCAGCTCGAAAATCGCAATTTTATAGTGCAAGTCTTGTACGCGAAATGCACTTCAGCAGCTCCCGCTCGAAAGTCGCAACTTGAGGGTTATCGTTTTTTTTTGGGGGCTCCACAGGGTATCGCGCAGTTTGGACATATAATTCAACCCCTCTTGATAAAGTGGTCGACGTAGGTTTTGTCCGTGGCTCATATCACTCTAGGGTTTAGGGCTTCTGGTGGCCCACACACGCTGGCCCACACATCACTTTAGGGCTTAGGGCTTCTGCTGGCCCAACCTGGCTTTAGGGTTGCTGCTGCCCCACACCTCGCTTTAGGGCTTCCGCTGGCCCACGCACCACTTTTTATTTCGTAGGCATCGTCAAACGGAGGTGAAAGCCATCGAACTCGAATGTTCTGCTCCAAGACCTGAGGCTGGCTGTCCGATGGGAGATCAAACCGCGGGAATCGGGCGGCTGAGCCTTTGAAACTCCCGGGAGAATACACAAATGATCAAAAGCTGGTATGAAAGGGTGCAATGCTAACTAAATATGAAAGGGGTCAGTCTAAACCATTGCACATAGTCATAAGGGCAGAAAGCTTTCGACGCCTTAAATGAAGGCTTCCTTTCGAGCCTTTGTGGGTCGGAGACCGAAGTTCTGAATCAGGCGCATTTGGCTATGGGGGAAAGGAGGGGATACGGGAATGGGTTGGACTCCCGTGCGCATGTTTAGGAAAGCCAAAAGGGAACCAGCCATTTACAGGAGCCCGCGAACCCCAAAGGGACTCATATCCAACACACAGGCCATATCTTTGTCTCCTTCTCCTTTTTGGGGTATGTTTTAAAACTGGGATTTGGTCCCCAAAATTGTGGTTTCCTTTTGATTTCCAAAGTAACAGGGTACCCTCAAAAAAAGGGAACAACCATTGGTACCCTCCAAAAGCACTTGCTTGCGTGGTTTCCTTTTTGGCGTCCTCAAAAAAACAAGTGCACGTGTTTTGCTCCCAAACGACGTGATAAAGACAGAGAGAAAGAGACAAACAAAAGAGGGAAAGAGAGAAAGAGAGAAAGAGAGAAAGAGAGGGAGACAAAGTATGCAAAAAAGATGCCAGGAAGCACGGGCAACGGGCGGGTGTGTAATTCTCTCAGAGCCCAAATAAATGCGTTGGCTTATGAGCATAAATCCCTACCCGACTGGAAACCTTCAGACACGCCCTGAAACGGGTCCTTCAACCCCCGGCGCCCGCAAACAAAAAACAAACAAATGCTCTGTTTTTGTCTCGAGCAAGAGAGGTACCCTATTGGGAAGCGGCTACCATTCCTTGTTCCATGAAGAGCCTTTCCAAAACGGGTTCCCCTATTTTGAGAGAGACTCAATTGTTTTTTGTCGTTTAAACTGGGTCGAATGTTTGGAAGAGCCGTCTCAGGCCTCCGAGCACATGCCAAAGCAGATCAGCCTCGGGTGGGCGGGCCGAAGGACGCGTCGGGCACCGGCCCCCACAACCCAAGATGAAACCCTTCGGCTCGAGAACACCATCCGACGCCACAGATGACTGCGAATTGACCTCTGGTGGGTTCTCAGAATTGGGCAGCCTAATTCCAGTGCGGGGAGTTGATCTTTTTTTTTAGGTCTCCGCTCGCCAAACCAAGCAAAAGACGGGCGGAACACTGCCGCCAAGCGGCGCATCGAGCGCGGCCGTCGCACCGCCGAAGCCCGGAGGCTTGGCAGCCACGAAGGCCGCGATAACGGAGCGGACCTCGTGGGCAACACTTGGCCGGCCCCCACGCCAGGAACACAGCAGCTGCTCGAACTGTTAGCAATCTGACAGAATACGGACTCCGCTGGCCTGTCAAGGCTTGGCCGAAGCAGAAGGGAGTGCCAAAGCCTGGCCACGCAACGTGCCCCAATAGAAGAGCATTAAACGAGCACTAGATGAGCACTAGACGAGCACTAGACCGAGCACTAGACGGGCGCTAGACGAGCACTAGACGGAGCACTAGACGAGCACTGGATGAGCACTAGACGAGCACTAGACGAGCACTAGACAGAGCACTAGACGAGCACTAGACGAGCACGAGCACTAGATGGGCGCTAGACGAGCACTAGACGGAGCACTAGACGAGCACTAGACAGAGCACTAGACGAGCACTAGACGAGCACTAGACGAGCACTAGACCGACCACTAGATGGGCGCTAGACGAGCACTAGACGGAGCACTAGACGGGCACTAGACGGAGCACTAGATGAGCGCTAGACGAGCACTAGACAGAGCACTAGACGAGAAATGGACGAGCACCAGATGAGTACTAGACACTAGACAGAGCACTAGACGAGCACTGGACGAGCACTAGACCAGTGCTAGACACTGGACAGAGCACAAGACGAGCACTAGACGGCCACTAGACGAGCACTAGAAGAGCACTGGACGAGCGCCAGCACTAAACGAGCACTAGACGAGCACTAGACGGGCCACTAGACGAGAGCGATGGACTAGACCGAGCAGTCTGGCGACCAATGGACTGCCCGACCAAGCTCGACCAAACCCGGCCAAATTTGACCAAATTCAGCCTAGAGAATATGACTGGAAAATTTCAACAATTTTCCGGTCGAATTCAGTCTGGCGATGGACTGCCCAATCCGACCAAATCGGACCACTGCGCTCGACCAAAGTCGACCAAACTCAATTCGAAGTCAATTAGACATGACAGCGCTAGACCCCATGCGACCACATGCGACCAAATTCGCCAGAATAGGGAGGCCACGAGCCACCTCCGATAGAAGAGCAGTAAACGAGCACTAGACGAGCACTACGAGCACTAGATGAGCACTAGACAGGCACTAGACGGAGCACTGGACGAGCACTGGCCGAGCACTAGACAGAGCACTGGATAGAAGACTGGACGAGCACTGGACAATCACCGGGCGGAGCACTGGACGAGCACTAGACGAGCACTAGCAGAATCATGGGTTTTCAGCCCCCACCAGAAAATCAACAAAGCCAAAGACCCAACGAGAACAAACATATGACAAAAGCAGTGTAGGTCACACTTCCTCTCACCAACGGAAGGCGCTTGTATGAGGGCACCTGGAAGACGAAACTCCTCTCGAGGAGACCCACTGTAGGGACCCAAGAGCATCTGGCTTTTTTTCGTGCTCAGGGCAGCGAGCGGGGGCGGCTCTGGCAGCGGCGGAAGCACTGAGGCTCGCGATCACAAAGGCACTTCAGCTACGCTTCCACGGGCATGGATCGGAACCACTCCGGCCGGCGGAGCCCTTCTGCAACACATAGACTTGAAAAGCAGTGGCGAAGAGCTGCAACGCAGAAAGCCGAAAGCAATTCCGCAGCCTTTCACCTCCGAGCGGCTGCTAAGCGCAGAAACTCCAACGAAATTCGAATTGGCTGCAGGCAGTCACTTCTGGGCCAAGAAGTTTTGGGAAGGACAACTCTCGAAGGATTATGGCCAAGGTGCGTCTCCAAGGATGATCCCGCTGAGGGTTAGCATTCATTGCATTTATGTAAGTGCGACCTCGTGGCCACACCCATCGGCCCGGCACAGTGCCCCCGCGGCCAGGGTGGCATCGCTCAAGCTCGTGAAGCCATGCGTCAGTTATGCAGCCTTGCTTGAGGCAACGGATCGAAACCATTCAAAGTGCATTTTGCAGCTCACTCTGGGCAACGCAAATTCACCTGTGGCACACCGAACGCTGGGACGCTGGGGGCTCAACCTGGTATCTGGTTTTGGCTCCACGCTTCAAACTACACTTGCCCAAGGCTTACCGGCTCATTTCAGGAAGACTGTTGGCGGCAAAGCGCATAGTTCTGGCGAATCTGCTCACACTAGTCATGCATCAACGACCCCCTCGCAGAGCCACCAGCTTAAGCTCACAAACACGTGTCAGCTACGCAGCATGCTGCAAACCACATGGCACTAGGGTTGGAGTTCTAGTTCCCCGGGGCTGGCTACCCCGTGCAAGAAGCATAACATCTGCTGCCAGGACCCAGGACGAGTGTCCAAGACAGGATCAGCTGCGAGGACAGTGCCTACGAGGCAGGATGCTGCGAACGCATGTGTGGCGGCCTTCCCTCCAGCGCCGGGTCCCACTCGTTCGCCACCCAGGCTCCCTGCTCGATCTGGGACAGCGTCTTGACGGCCACCCACAAGCTCTCGATGTGCACGGAGTCCTCTGTCTGAATGACCTGGTTGGTTTTTTTCTTGCCCTTGACAGAGCCCTCTACATCATAGAGGACCTTGAAGTAGCATTCAAAAAACCAGCCAGGCACAGGCGTGGGTGCAAAGCGCGCGTAGCTGTGAATGAGGTGGCTGTTCTTGTCCGTATGTAAATAAACGCCAGCGTGCCCAGGGAAGAAGCGGTGACCCTCACTCTCATCTGCGCTGGCCTTGAGATGGCCAGCAGCAGCAATCATGTAGAGAGCTTCAGCGACTGTGCCGTGCCAGCCCACGCGAAACTGCGCCCCCTCCTTCACCTTGCACGGCAAGAAGGGCACGCAGCCAACGCCTGGGCTGACAGGCACATAGTCGCCAAAAAGGTCAGCCAGGGAGCCGTGCGGGCCCGGACGCGTCTGCCACAGCTGAGCAAGCAGCATCTTGACGTCCTCGTGCCCTGGCGGCCCTACATCGACAGCATCGCCTATCTGATGCCACCAATGCTTCAGCATCTTCTTCCCCTTCGCCTGGCACGGCACCTCCAACCAGGCAGCGACCCGGCCGCGCGCAGCGTCCGAGAACGGCCACCAGAGACGCCGCGCCTCGCTACCACGGGAGGACACCTCACCGTGGCTGCTCGACGACGACGCCCCTGATGCCGCCTCTAGCTTGCGCCGCTTGCTGATCTGCTCGAGGGCCTCCACAGCTTCCGGCCGCGCAACCAGGTCGCTGACAAAGCCGCTGGACCTGAGAGCCTCCCTCTCAGCACGGCCAAGGCGCCCACGCTGCCGATGCAGCTGCGAATCAGACACCGAGGCCTTACCAGCAGCTGACCGCCCCACATGTATCTCCTCCCTGCGGTCAGCCGACAGCGGCTCATTCTGCCGCAGGAGGGAAGGAATGTCCAGCTCAAGCTGGATATGCATGGCTCCTGTGGTTGCAGGTTACAGGTTCGAAGTGAGTGGTTCAGGTCTTCTGCTTTCCCTGTTGGACATGCAAGGTTAAAGTGTGATATAGAGAAGCTTGTCCACTGAGAAAAATAGCATTGCAGAGTGAAAACATATGAAAAGCTAGCAGGACTTGACTGTAAGTTCTGGCTTGCTGTAAATTGCAAGCTCATATTGAGCCAATTGCAGCGTTGTGCTGCGTTCAGCTTTCACACAAACAGCTCACAATGGCAACCCCTAGTCGTGTGTGCGCAAATCCTTGGCACCCTGTCAAGTCAACTAAAGCGCACGTGTCTCTCAACTTCGGTTGAGTGTTATTGAACATGTAAACAATGTTTTGGCCACCTTGAAGTGAAAAGGACCGTTTTGGCCACATGCTAATCGTGCTCACACACTCCCTTTAAACCGTGTGCCAGCCGCTAGCCATTCAGTTAACAAGCCTCCCAGAATAGCAAGCTTCCAAGCCAAGGGCCAAAAGGGACTCATATCCAACACACAGGCCATACCTTGCCGCCACGGGAAGAACGGCACACGGCGCGCCGGAGGCGCCTCACGGCCGGTAGCCAATGGCGCAAAGGAGAATGTGCTCGTTGAGCAAGCGGATTCTACCGAAATCGTCGCGTTGTTTTGAGGGCACCCTAGTGCCCGTGTCAACTTGGTTTAAACGGAAGCCAATAGAAAATAATGCAATTTTGGTGTCTATGTTGTTACATTCCCAAGGCATAAAACTGCTTCTACCACCGAAACACACCGCCACCCTAAATACACCGATCCCACCGTTGGTCAAACTATACTAGTCATCCCCAAGGGAGCGTTGCAAGCAACATAAAGTCCACCACTTCAGCAGGTCAGCAACGTTGACCCCCGAAGAAAAAAGTACCCGCGGATGAGAAAGATCTGGAGATCCCTGTATTCCTTCCTCCAGGCGGACCCCTACTTCATCAACTCAGAATCACGGGTTTTCAGCCTCCACCAGAAAATCAACAAAGCCAAAGACCCAACGAGAACAAACATATGACAAAAGCAGTGTAGGCCACACTTCCTCTCACTAACGGAAGGCGCTTGTATGAGGGCACCTGGAAGACGAAACTCCTCTTGAGGAGACCCACTGTAGGGACCCAAGAGCATCTGACTTTTTTTCATGCTTCCGGCGCAAGCAGGGGCCGGGGCCGATGCTGAAGCGAATGAAGTCACGAATAAACCTG